TGTTTTGAGGACTAAGGTGTCTCTCCTAAATGAGACAGATGAGCTTTGCTCACTGGGCAAGTTTAGTTTGTTTTCTGCTATCAGCACCACAGTTGGTAGTTGATAGCAGTAGTTAAACATTGTCTTTTACAAATTGAAATGATAGTTTGCTTGTTAATATACTGTTATTTACTGACATGGAGAAGGTTCTAGATACTAACTGAGAGAGTGCGGGGTTCAAAGTGGTGTATAATCATTTTGGGGTAAAATAAAGGCGCGTACCAAGACAGTCAAACTAAATGATACTGAAATTACTTACTTTGGATACACAATACAATTCCTAACAGATTATAAAAGACTGGATATCTCACACTGTTCGACTGGGTCCCGCAGGTTTTTTGGGCGACTGAAATGTTGAGATCGCACACTAGACAACTTAAAGTTCTTGCTGAACTGAACTAAACTGAACTGAACCTTCTCAAACACATGGTCTCCTGTTACTAGGAGGTGCAAATAAACATGCGGAGCCACCACTTGTGCTCACACAGTAAAGAGGCAATAGGTAAATGTGTTTCAGTAAAGATGTGACTTAGTGTGGTAACTTATAGAGTTTTAGTTATACATGCACTCCAAAGTGCTCGTGCCATAAACTCTGTTCAGTCAAAGCTTCACTAAATATTCTTTTCATTTATTTTTTTCCTTTTTCTTTTGTATGTTTTGTTTTTGTTTGTTTTATTTTCTTCTTTTGCGCATGGGGTTTTTTTTGTTTTTTTTTGGTCTGTTTATGGAGTCAAACTGAGTCACTAATATACACAACAGCATGTGTGTCAGGCTCCTGTCCTCGTGGGTTAAACCACTGCTGACGTCAGCACACTGCCTCATTAAACACACCTGATTCAGCTCATCAGCTAATTAGCAAGGCCTTCATGAACTGAATTCAGAGTGTTAGATGAGGGTAAACGCTGATCTCCGCAGCACTTTGGCCTGAAAGGTCCCCAGTTTGATATGCCTGCACTACAGTATTATGCTCAGAGTTGAGTTGGGTCTTTAAAAATTGATATTCTCCCAACAAGTCTGCACCTTCACACAGTACTCAAGGAGGTTTATGGGTTTTCTCAGGGCACCTGCAAAGAGTTCTACATTAACTCCAGCGTTTAAGATCATTTACTGTTAAACTGTGTTGAACGACAGAGCTTTATTTTACTGTAAAGGAGACTGTTCTGTTTATTTATTTACTTACTTAGGTATTTGAGAGGTTCCGCCTGTTCCTCAGTCCCTTTAGCTCATTAAACTACACTTGGCGGATCACGGGTCCATTAGATCAGTGGTGTCCAGCCTTATCTGCTGATGACTGGTGCGGCTGCAGGTTTTCACTCCAACAAAGCAGGAGGTCACCTGCTGAAATGTTTGAAGACGAAAACCGACTGATTAAACAAGTAGAATCGGGTGAGCTCCAGCTTGTTTGGAGTGAAAACCTGCTGCCACACCGGCCCTTTGCGGATAAGACTGGACACCCCTGCTTTAAGCCTTGGGTTCACTACACGACTTTTAAAGTCTGAACAGATTGTAAAAGACTGGGCATCTCATACTGACTGGTTTTTGCAGGTTTTTTTTTTGGGCGACTGAAATATTGGGCATCCACACTAAATGATTAGGGATCAAACACTACTCGACTTTTAAGCTGTTGCTGAAGCGAACAGAGCTCAATGAACTCATGTTCTCCTGTCAGTGGGAGACCCAAATAAACGTGGAGCTGCTGCTGCTGTTTTCTCTGCCGTTTGCGCTGAAACAGTAAAGAAGCAGCAGGTAAACATGTTTAAGTGGATCATGGATTTAAAAATGTGATCAGTTGGTATTTTAAGAGTTTTAAATGTACATAAACTCGATTGTGTCTTAAACTCAGCTCATTAAAAAGCTTCGCTCCACACGTGAGACTTTTCACTATTTTTCTTTGTTTACTTGCTGTATTTTCTTCTTTCGTGCTCTCAGTTTTCATTGGCTGTTGCAGGAATCTGTTCAGATTGAGTCGTTGATCAGTTTACACTAGATTACACTCTGAGTCGGGTCGAAAACATTTGATAAACTCAGACTGGTCTAAAACGCGATCAGGAGGCAGTAAATCTGAGTCTGCACCCCTCACACGACTCGCCTCGCTCTCCAACTGTCGACTTTGACTGACCCAAAAATCTGCAGACTAGAGCCAACCAGCACAGACTCAGCCAGACTGAGAATCGGGGCTAAAATCGGGGGAAAAGTCGTGTAGTGTAACCCGGCTTTAGAGTAACTGTTTTCTCTTTAACTCTCTGTATGTGTTTTTTGTTTTTTTTCTACAGCTGTACAGGTTCAGCCTCATCCTTCACAGCAGATTCCATTCCACCCTCCTGGAAACTGATTACATTTTATGAACTGAGACTAAACACCTAAAACCCTGCGCCCACCTTCGGACTGACGAGGAGACACGGACACTGAGGGGAAGACGGGGAGAGAGGGTATAAAAACAAAGCAAAAACTTATCCCCCTTTTTCTCTCATTCCCCTCTGTTTCGCCAAGGACTGCCCATTGTTGCAGTATCTGCCATCAAGGTGTGAAGGAAAAAAACACGGGAGCAAAGAAATTCCATGGCCGATGTCCTTCCTCCAGTCCCTTTTTTCTTTCTTTTTTAACAGACCACCCCCTCCAGCGTCGTCAGATTTTATAAGAGGAAGCTTCGTCGTTTTAGATGAGAAGAATATGAGAATGTAACCAGAAAAGGTTTTTAATATTAGCTGGACAGTGTCGATGAGATGTTTTTCTTGAGCATATAAACGGCTGGACATAAAAAAAAAAATAGGTTCTAAGTGCATTTTGGAGGGGTGGGGTGTAAAATAACAAAGGAAAGCAGGACTTCTGCGTCGGAAACAAAGGGACGAAAAGGGACGCTTTGCCCGGAGGGGGATAAAAGAAATAAATCACAATACCTCTGCCCTGTAACTACCTGTATTCCCTGAAACCTCCTTTTCCACTTCATTCCTCCTTACCCAGGGGAAACAACAAAACTTTGAAAACAAGAAGGAAAAAAAAAAATCAAAAAACCCAACAATGACCAAAAAAATAAAGTTTTAAACTTCATGCTGTTTTATGTATTTTTGTTCGTTATGTTAGTGTGCATTTTTATTTACCTGATGTGCCCAAAGCAGCTTGCACGTTGCACGTTAGGACAGCAAGCGCAGTGACAGACAACAACAAAACCCCATAATAATCAACAAAGTTGTCTACGCCAGCTGTGAGCATCGGAGCAGTATGACGGGATGCAGTGATTTTGATGAACGCACTCTTTCTGGTGTGTTACTATGGTGGCCAACATGACCCAATGCAAGTACAATGAAAGGCTATGTTTACATTTACAAGCCTCTTTGCTGAAATCTGATCTCTCTGACTCGATGGTTCACACTCGTTTAGGTAAGTGATTCAAATCTGTCATTAATGTGACGAACCGGCGTCCTGAAATGACCCTCATGAGCTCATCCTACTCAGTAACGTCACGTGAATGAATCACGTTCATCATCAGCACAAACTAACGAGCAGAACGAGCTTCGCTGAGAAGATCATTAACTCTGATCAGCTCTCAGCTTCATTATTAGAGCGAGACAAAGGAGAAAAAGGTGAGATGAGCTGCTTTTCCACCGTTTACAGGCTTTAACTTCTGTTCGGCGTTGCTGCCATGGTAACGCTGAATGATGGCGCACGCAGCGGGGAAAAAAAAAAGCACATAAATGCTGATCTGAGTGTTCAAGTTAAGGTCGCATGGCCACAAATCGGATACGTATCCAATCTAGGACCACATATGAAAGGTTTTGTTCACACAGCAGGTAAAAGTGGCCCAAATCTGATATTTTTCCACATGTGTCAGTGTGAACAGCAAAAACGCACTGAAATCCGTTCCGTATCTGATCTGCCGCAATGCGACTCAGTCTGAACAGCCAGATTGGAATTCATGTCAAATTCAACATTCATCATAATTTCGTGCTGCTGAGACTCAAACATTTGGGGTGATATTTCTGTACTAACAAATTCGAAGGCACTTATTGCAACCGCTCTGTGTTCAGAGATTTCGAACATAATGGCCAAACGCAGCCGTAAGAGCGACGCTGCAGTGTAAAAAAAGGTTTTAAGAATCCGAGGACAAAAAAATAAAAAGTGACTGTGTCCAAATAATGTGCACTTTTTACTGTGAGCTCGAACACATTCTGGGTGATGAGCCCAGCTGTCAGTCAGTGAAGCTTCATGATGGCTCCTGTGATGCTGGTGAAGATGAAGCTGATCCTCCGGGAGCGACTGGCGTTCGTTGGCAGTCGTGACTGTTCACCTCTGGATGAGCCGTGTGAAACATTCTTTTGCGGATGCGGGTCGGTTTAGGAGCTGATCTGCTCAGACTGAAGTCGCATACAGATCACATTTAAAAGATAATGTCAACAGCCAAACAAAGAAATCAGATTTGGGCCCCTTTTACCTGCTGTGTGAACGTAGTCAAAGTGGCTTAGGTCGGATTTGAAAAGATCAGATTTCTGTGTCCACACAGCCCTGAAAGCATCAGATCTCAGAGTCACATTCGGGCAAAAAATCTGATTGGTGCCACTTCAGCCTGGTAATGTGAACGTAGCCAATAACGCGTCGCAAACTCAAACGCGACCCGAACTCAGAAAAGACTTTCAAATCGGCAACACCTGAACTACATTTCACAAACTCACTGTAAATACAGAAAACAGATGCAACTTCAGAAACACTGAACTCTCATCATTTAGAATTTGTTTTTTAACCCCTGGATTTTTTTGGTTTCCTTTTTGGGCCAGAAAATTTGACCTTACCAGCTTTGAACAGAAGGGACAGAAGGATTTTGCTCTGAAAAGGAAGAATTTCCAGAGCACAGCAGGACTTGAAAGAACAAAATTAAGCAGTGGTCAATCGTCCTTCTGGTCTGCGTGACTCACCCAGGTGCTAAGGAACACGGTCATCAGTCTGAGAGAATATTAGTGTACATAGTCTGGCAGCATAGCGAATTTATTACCAACTAAACTTTCCCCCGAGGGTGAATGAATAACTGCAATTTATTCACAGTAACTATAAAATTTCACGTTAAATGTAGTGATTTAAACTCTGAAGTCATTACATAAACACTACAACTCACATATGCACTGCAGTTAACTAACAATTAGCAAGAGCAGCCAATGAATCAGTGATGGGATTAGTGCAAATTACAGTATTAGAGCGGCACAGTATGGACCGAAGACCAATACTGTCACTGTGTGAATATCAATATTGCGATCATGATTAAAAGACATACTGTGCACGGCTAACTGTAACAAATGAGTTGAGCTCATTGTTTTAAGGCATTTTACTTCCTTCTTCCTTGCAAGAGGCTAAAGCTTAAATCAAGATCAAAGTACCATCCTTATTTAGCCAAAGTAGCTCTTAGCTAATTTAACACGTCCACTGTCCTTTAAGACATGGTGAGTGTTGTCGCTGTACGAGATGATCTCTGCTTCAGTGCGACAGCTTGTACAGTTCCTCTGCGCTGTTCTCCAGTCGGTCTCTGTACTCCAGGTAGTTGTAGTTACCTGGAGGAACTCCCTCTGTTCCATACAGCAAACCCCAACAGCAGCAGGCGATCACTGCAGTACTGTCACTGTCGCCTGCACAGGAAATACAGAATGTGTGGAGCGGATATGAAAGACATGGATGGCCGATTTAGGGCTACATTGATCAGTCAGCAATATCAATAATGGAATAAAAGAACTCGTAGGGCTCCCGGGTGGTGCAACTGTCTTAACCAGGGGTGTCAAACTCAACTAATAAGAGGGCCATTTTTAAAAATCTCAACAAATCAGTGGGCCAGAGAACGTTTTATTTCATTTTTAATTAACGTTTTACTACTATAGACTATGGTTTATTCAAAATACGCAAAAACTTCAACAGTAAAATGTAGGTACCTGCAGTAGGCCTTGAGATATTACATGAATACTTGAAATGTTCAATATTTAAATGTGCCCAGGAGCTCAGGTAGGTTACCTATGTGCTTGAACTGGACACCTGGCATCCTTTTTTTGCTGACTTGGGCTCAATTTCTGAGCTGCTGAGCTAAAGTTAAGTGTTTATATTGGCTGAAATGCAGCTAGTGTATTAGTGATTTGACTGGTGTGGAATTGTGTAGAATTGAGGTGTAACCGATGTCCCATAGACTGTTGATGGGGTAGGAGAGTCGGAGCGCACGTCACATTGCAGTGCATGCTGGGGACTGTAGTACAGCGCACTGTAAAACGAGCTAATGTTAATAGACATTTGCAGGCCGGATAGGATTGTGTCAGGGGCCTGATCTGGCACATGGGCCTGGTGATGCTATAGCCATCTGTGGCCAGGAGTCCAGGAGAGCGGAGTAACAGTGCTCCTCCTAACGTGCTCAGCTGTCCAGTGACGTTTGCATTAGCGGCAGTTCGAAAAGTTGCAGTGGCGCTTCACAGGTCTCAGAGGAAGCCTGTGCTAGCCTTCACCCTCCTAGCGCTGGTGATTAGGGGAGTTCTAACTAGTGGGGTGGAAGTGGATACGTCTAAACTGGGAAGAAAATTGGGGAAAAAAATTCTCTTATGTATGTACTCTAGTCCTCAGGGGAGTGGGTGGGAACACTGGAATTGGGGGGCAGGTTTTAGAGGGGGGGCGTACCCTTGCTCGCTGTCCCAACACAAGTATTCACGTTACAAGGTAACGTCTGGCCCTGTGTGTCTACCCCCCATAGGGACAGATAAGTGATCACTGACCTCCGTGGAATCCCGCTCGACTCATTAGCTCCTCCCAGTTTGAGCCCGCCCCCAGAAGGGCATCCAGCGCTATCATTGGTGCATCATGGCCGCTGCGCCCCGCCCACCCGGAGAGACTGAAGCTCTTATAAGCCTCATCACGTTCAGCTGGCCCGTATTGGTCCGGCCAGATCACTGGCCCAGTCCCAGATGAGAGACCCCTCAGTTCAAGATACCTGAAAGGAGAAAGTCATTTTTTGAGTTTAAATGGAGCTTTTTGAACTGAATTTGAGACTTCGATCATGACCCGTTTGGTAATTATACCACAGTCTGAGATGTTTCTCACAGTCTGGCTGCTTTTGGATGTACATTGTAATCTATACGAAGCTTAGCCAAGCTCAGGGGTCGGCAACCCAAATGTTAAGAAGAGCCATTTTGTCCTTTTGAGCCACAATATTTTATGTCCGTTTTACAATCTTACCATCTTAAACATGTCTCAGTATGTGCTAATGTACTAGTACAGGCTAAACAATATGAATGAAAAAACAGACTTACTTTGCTCCATTTTAAGCTTTAGCTCAGCTATAGCTTCTTTTCTCGCATCTCCGGCAGGAAACTTTCTCAAAAGTAGAACATTCTCTTGTAAAATGTCTCTCAACGTTAATATTTTTTGATTTTATTTTTTGAATGGTGCCCGAGGCGCCAAAAGGTAGCTGTTGCACCATTTAAGGTGGAACGGGAGAATTCAAGCAAGCTGGTGAATGAGAAACTGACTTCAGCCTCACGACTTTTTAGTGTTTGTCAGTATCTTGCAGATTAAACGTATCAGGAAACCAGCTGGAGTGATTATAAATGCAAATAAGTCCAATCGACTGTAAATTATCGACGTCCACCTCAAATCTCTCTCTTTGCCATTTCGTTAGCTACTAACTAGGCGAGATTGTTGTCTGTGTTGCTATGGTGACCAGCAGTCTGCGCTGATCTTCAGGGTTAAAGGGTGAATCAGCAGTTCTACATTAACTCCAGAGTTTAAGACCATTTATTGTTAACCTGTGTTGAACGATCAGCAGAGCTTTATTTTACTGTAAAGGAGGATTATTTTATTTTTACCTACAAATCTGATTCTGCTGTGGAGCCACAACAGGGCAGTAAAAGAGCCGCATGTTGCCGAATGCTGGCCTAGCTTCTATTCACATCGTTGAACTATTGTGAACTATAGTGAAAACTTGGTAGGGCTGAGGCCAAGAAAGGGTCATTACTGTTGAACAAGGAGCACGTTCTCATGTAATCGGTATTAACGTGAAGAAGCAGTGGGGCGTGCAAGTCATTGGATTGGAGCTGAATCACTTCAGCACTTTTCTGTAATTTATTTTCAATGCTGTTTTTTGACGTTACATGTAAGAAGTCTACAAATCTTAAAGAAAGCGACAGGACAGCTGTGTTGGATGGATGATCATGCCGGTAGGAGCATGTAGTTCAGACTAAGATCAGATGTGAGCTCCATTTATAAGCTAATGTCAATGCTAAACCACCAATCCCAAAAAACTTGGAATGCATCATATCCCATTCTCACCATTCCCATTTCTCAGTGAAGTATCCCCAGTCTCTCTCCGTCTCCTCCACAGCGTATCCTGCTGTTTTCACAAACTCCTTCGCTACTGGACAGGCTTCCTTCACTAAGCCCAGCCCCCAGGTCGTGATTGGACGGTGCTGGACGGCGTAGGCCGTGAACAGAGCCGAAGCCACAGCGCCTAAGAATCCGGTTGGATGAGGGTGAGTCATTCTCCCCGTCTCCACAGCAACAGCCACCAATGAGGACAGCTGTTCAGGCCGAGGGTATCTGGTACAAAGAGAGAGTCTTTTGGCAAGTAGTTTAAAAAAATGAAAATATCTCTCTTATGAAGTTTCATGAAATCACAGTTCATGATCAACTTGAAATACAGGGAAAGTTCTCTCACTGCTCTTCTGACCTGAGGAGAACTTTCAAATGAGTGATGAAATGTGTTTAGGTCAGGGTTGGTAACCCAGAGCCATTTTGTCAAGTTTCAACAAAAATCAAACCACCTTAGGAGCCACAACGATTTATGTCCATTTTATTGCAGTAACGTTTCACCACCTTGGCTGTAAATATGTCTCAGTATGTACTAGAATAGGCTAAAAAATATAAAGCAGCCTTACTTTGCTCTGCTTTAAGCTTTAGCTCAGCTATAGCCACTTTTCTCACATCTCTGGCAGAAAACTTCCCACAAAAGTAAAATGTGTCTTGTAAAATGTCTCTTAACGTTCGGCTTCTTACAAAGCTGAAGCCGTTTCTCATTCACCAGCTTCTTGTTCGAATTTACCTGTTCCACCTTAAATGGTGTCTGAGGCGCCAGAAAGTAGCTAACTATTGCACTATTTAAGGTGTTATTTAAGGTATTTTTAGTGTTTGTCAGTTTCTCGTTGCAGATTAAACGTATCAGGAAACCAGCTGGAGTGATTATAAACACAAATAAGTCCATTAATCTCCAAATCATCAATGTTCGTCTTAAATCTCTCTCTTTGCCGTTTCGTTAGCTACTAGCTAGGTGAGATTGTTGTCTGTGTTGCTATGGTGACCAGCAGTCTGCGCTGATCTTCAGGGTTAAAGGGTGAATCAGCAGTTCTACATTAACTCCAGAGTTTAAGACCATTTATAGTTAAACTGTGTTGAACGATCAGCAGAGCTTTATTTTACTGTAAAGGAGGATTATTTTATTTTTACCTACAAATCTGATTCTGCTGTGGAGCCGCAACAGGACAGTAAAAGAGCCGCATGTTGCCGAGCCCTGGTTTAGTAGAACACCACAAATCCACTGGCCTTGGTTTACTACTACTGGTCTATCTTTGACATTGAATTAAAAACAGAAGCATGGCGTGATCTGATATTCTCACTCGTAGGTTATTTTCCCACTTCTGTAAGTGCAGATTCTACACTTTTCATTTCTAGCATATTTGTAAGTGGAAGATATTTTATTATGATTTGACTGTGATAACAGACGTCCTTTACTTTTTGACATGAAACAAACAATAAAAGTTTGAAACAGACTGGACACAGGATGTAAACCTGACTGATTATGTAACTAAATAATTCTACATTTATAGCCAAATAATAATGTAATGTTAATCACATGTACAGACCAAATTAGAATGGGCCTCGTTCACCAACCGTTCTTAAGAAGACATTTCTTCCTAAAACCCACTTACGCTGTTTTCACTAAGACTCTGACTCACCAGTGTTCTCTTATTTGGGATTTGTTCTTAGGTAAGAACAGAATCTACACACACTCAAGAGCACAAAGGTGAGAACAGTTCTGCGCTTTAAGAACACATCATGAATCTGACATACACTTTTTTCTTAGGATCTTTCTCAAGAACACTTTTAAGTACAAACTTATGAAGATATTGATGAATGAGGCCCATTGTTTGTGAACATAAGGGTGGCTGTACTTCTGGGTGGATAACTTGCATCCAGTCAGTGTGGAAGTAGCTCAGTTTACAACACAATTTACAATAAATTCAAACGGATGAAACATCGCAAATAACAGTAAAAACCTGTGTTTGAGGTTGTTATGTGAAATGTACCCAAGTATGCATTGCATCTTATGTTTTTCCCATTTTCCTGCTTTCAAAAGCAGATAGAGCTGCTATAAGCAGTGTAGCAGTGTCGTCCAGCTGAAGATGAAGTTGCCAAGCACTATTATTTGACCAATAAGAGAACTTACACCGATCAGACATAACATCATGACCACCTCCTTGTTTCTACGTTAATTGTCCATTTTATCAGCTCCACTTACTATATAGGTGCACTTTGTAGTTCTACAGTTACAGACTGTAGTCCATCTGTTTCTCTGATACTTTGTTAGCCCCCTTTTACCCTGTTCTTCAGTGGTCAGGACCCCCATGGACCCCCACAGAGCAGGTACTATTTGGGTGGTGGATCATTCTCAGCACTGCAGTAACACTGACGTGGTGATGGTGTGTTAGTGTGTGTTGTGCTGGTCTGAGTGGATCAGACACAGCAGTGCTGCTGGAGTTTTTAAACACTGTGTCCACTCACTGTCCACTCTATTAGACACTCCTACCTTGTCAGTCCACCTTGTAGATGTGAAGTCAGAGACGATAGCTCATCTGCTGCTGCACAGTTTGTGTTGGTCATCCTCTAGTCCTTCATCAGTGGTCACAGGACGCTGCCCACAGGACGCAGTTGGCTGGATATTTTTGGTTGGTGGACTATTCTCAGTCCAGCAGTGACACTGAGGTGTTTCAAAACTCTAGCAGCACTGCTGTGTCTGATCCACTCAGACCAGCGCAACACACACTAACACACCACCACCACGTCAGTGTTACTGCAGTGCTGAGAATGACTCACCAGTTTTGTTTCAATGTACAGTGCAGTAAATCGTTTCATATCAGCCAGTAAGTAAGGTAACTGGCAAACAAGCCAAATTAGACACTTCAGAGTGACATAAAATGGCCAAAAAGAACAAGGAAATGATTGTGAACTAAAACTATAGGTACTGTTGGTTCCTGCATTGGTTAAATAAGTCTCAGGATTAGTACAAAGTCCTGTTGTATCTGTGTGGCATCCTTGCTCTGCTGTTCTTTGCTGTTGTGACATATTAACAACAAAATGACAATATTAAGACAACCTAAGAGTGTGAAACTCTTCCTCACCTCAAGCCAATGCACATAGACCTCATAGCAGCGCCGCAGCCTGTACCTTCTGGGTTATATGCCACTCTGTAGCCTCCTTCAGTGCCTGGTTTTAACTGAGATACACCTACAAACAGCGAGACAAAGAGTACCAGCTAACTTCAGTCAGAACAGTAGCAAATACAGAATAAACAAAATGGTCGTGTTCTTAACTTTACATGGATAATAATGGAACAAGATTTTTAAGCAAGTCATTTTAGAGCTTTTTTACTGCTCCATTGGTCATGAAACTGTAACACAGTGTAGAAATCAGTCTGCATTTTCAATTTCTGTTTAAAAACAACAACAAAATTGGAGGTATGAGCTTTTGTCTTAACAGCAATGATACACAATAGCTAACTAACTTTACAGTAACCTTGTGAATTTTGCAAGCGATAATATGAAAATGATATTGGCAACTCGGTGTGTCAAATAATACAATTTCCATTTTTTTGTACATCACAAATTGTGTCCACGTTCTCTTTTGTTTGGCTTCTCAGACGTTTCCATAGCCCACTGACAAAATCTCACAAAAAAATTGAAAAGCATGATGTAGTATGTTTGAAAGAGTTTATTAAAGTAATAAGCCACGAGAGGCTGTGTGTGGGTGCGATTTTATCACGGGAAAGGGTCACTTCCCTGTGATAAAATCACAGTAACGCATGGCCTTTCGTGGCTTATTGCTTTTATAAAATGGCGGCCAACATAAAACACAATAAAATACACACTTATTTTGAGAAAATAATTCAAGTTATTATTAATAATAATCAATATAAGTATTCCGCCAAGAAATGTAGTTCCTTTAGAGTTTGGTGTCATTGTTGTTGCTCATGTCTCTCAGTTGGCTCCCTGCTCCCTACATAGTGAACTACATAGGAGTTTAAATACTGGATCCTGCAGCCCAACAGTGAATAATACAGCTAAGAAACAGTCATTTGAGACTCAGACTCATCCACACTCGATAAATGATGCACTGTTTGGCTGCAGAGGCTAGAATTTCTAAACTTTCATAGCTAGAACACTATTTAGGGAGTACGGAGCCGTTTGGGATTCAGCCTGGGTTTGACACGACTTCTGACTGAAACACGGACATTTGAAGTGGGTCAGTCATTCGAGTGATATTCTTTAGTGTTTTACACTGCAGTTTTATAGTTAATCAAACCGTAAGTGCTTTAATTCAAGCCTGTGATATTAATGATGGAGCTGTTTAGGCTGTTGGCTCTTTTACCCTGTTAGCTAGCTGACCAGTCTAGTTCTGGTTAAGAGTATAAGTTGTCAGCCCCTCAGTTTAAACAAAAAAAGGATTCTTACTTCATCATTACACTCGGTGGTCCATGTGAGCAGCATTAGAGTCAAAGATTATTCTATTAACAGCAGAAGGGTTTTTCTGCCGTGGTGCAGTGATACAGAGTTCAGTCGCTGTGAGGCGTCATAGCTGTGCTTATATCGCGGATTCCACAACGGCTTTGAACGTGGCTCAGCCAATCAGATTTTAGGACCGGAACTATGTTTTATAATGTAGCATATACATCGTTACATACGGAAATCAAGCCTCAAAAACAATCTATCACCTTTACACATGCCCACCTATTCAGTCTACAGTAATTTAGCTCCACCCACTCACACTGAAGTTATAAGGAGTGTTTCAGCCCACACTGCTTTTTTACCCAGAATGCTGGATGGTCCTGGCTTCCTTCCCTCCATGTCCTTCATTCCTTCCACATAGCGTGAAGCCACTTCCTGCAGAAGCTCCTCCCCTTCCTTTCCTACAAGAAAGCGAAGAGCGTCACCTGAGCTTATACTATAAAATTAGCTGAAAGTATTATTATTTCTTCTGATTGGGTGAAGAAACCTGTTGCTAAAGCTTCAGCCGTGGCCAGGTGGAGGACAGTGTCATCGCTGACCGGCCAGTCGGGCAGTTGAACTGTGATGTTCTTCAGTCCTCCAAGCTCCTGCAGCTCCTATAAAATTATAATAAGCTAGTTATGTAAGGCAATAAGGCAAAATTAAAGAAAAACAGCACATTTTTCTCGAACCGTGTTGATCAGTGATCTCACATGGACATGCTAATGTGGTTTCTGACTACCTATAAACATGGACAATCATATAATCATACTGGATTAAAATCGCTTCACAATTATTACTGTCAGTCTGTAAAAACTACTCGAGTTGAATTTTCCATGACAAAAAGCCCAGGATAGTATTTATGCGGCCCACCAGCGCAGCATATCTGAAACAGGCTGTCATCATCCGGCCCATTTACACCCTCATACCATCTGCTCCACGCACTCATAGTGTCAGGCTAAATCCAGCAGCTAGAAACATTTTTATTCCTGGCATGAGTGAAGCATCTGAGACGACTTTAGCTCTGCTGGAAAGGCAGACGTAAACACACGCCTCCCTCTCGGATCCAGATATTAATCTGAGAATACTGTGCAGCTTTTAGACGAACCCAGGCTTCGTTCATTTCACGCCCTGACAACTTTCTTTTTGCTGTACAAGAAGCTTAAAGATAGTCTTTTTAGTTTTTATAGTTTTTATATGTTCTTTAATCAAGCCAGGATTTGCAGAAGCCAGACAGACGCTACAAATAAATCAAAACGTCTGAATCCAATCGCAAAGCTTAGCCTCAGGCGCTACACCTGCTGCTCTTAAACGCAGTATTTTTTTCTGAAAGTCAAGGACAGGAACATGCACACAAGCTAAGAGCTGACTGTGAAGGAACAGGTCTGTAACAGGCCATGCTTAGCTGTACCACTGCATAATATATTGTTTACATGAGAATTGTGGGCGGATGCTAGTCATACACGTACCTGTCGATGGCGAATATGCAAATTGATGACAATATGCAAACTAATAAAATCAGAAAATGGATCTAAATGTGTAGAAATTGGGCCTAAATCTGCCTGGATTAGAATTACAGAGAAATAGACAAACATTTCACTGAGTATCACAGAATGGCAGTGTCGTGATATCATCATTATTGCAATGTATCGTGATAGTATTGTATCGGGCGAAGCCCTGTGATTCCCACCCCTATTTGTACCATCATCATGCATCCCTAACTGTTTGTTAATCGTCGCTGTGATATCGGCCTTTGCAATACTGATATCACATAAAGCAGCAAATAACTAATCACAATACTGCTGTGTTCTGATCAATCACAGCTCCATTAATTATTCATGTAATCCAACAAAAGTGAATTACTTCCTACCACTCATGTCACATTACTGATTCACAACTACATTTTAATATATTGCAAGGAACATTCGCGATACTAGTATTTTGTCCATATCATGCAGAATAAAAGTCACTGCACTGCAGTGAGAAGGTGGGTAACTGGCTATTGTCTTCCTTGGACTGACCTGGTGTATGGCCGGGCCGGACTCGTTGTATTCCCACAGCTGGTTCCTGTAGCCAAGAGCATCTCCAACTCCACTCAGCAACATGCCAGCCTTGTAGTGCTCAAGAGTCGTAGAGCTGGAACAAGAAAGCAGGTCCATTAGTTACTGATTGACTGAAGACAAAAGCTGCATTTGTCCATTTTCGCCTCAGCCAGTGTTATGACAGTTGACGCCTGTTGGAATAAGCCTTTTCAAACATCTACATGGGTTAATGTTAATTGTCATGAAAGGGTCTGTAGGAGTCATGTAGCCTTACAAATGGTGCCCTTCAGTGAAGTGTTACTAAAATATACTGCATTGTTCTACACAGCCTATGACCAGGGGTGGGCAATATGACGATATTTTATCGTTATCGTGATAAATTATGTCTCAATACACTTTTCTGAGCATATCGTAAAATACTTAAAAACATAAAAAAATAAACACTGACGAACCACACACTCCATTACAAAGTGAACACAATTAGGCCTGTTTAATTGGATTTAGCGCAACACACTTCATAAAACATTGGATAAAAATCCTGACCATTAGGCTACTGTTTTCATACAGTCATAAATAACAGGCTGACATAAGTTTTTTAAAAGTCAGAGGTGTTGAGTCAGGAGTTTTTTTACATGCACAGACTCAGAAAGAAGGTCCGACTCTATGTTTAGGTCTCAAATGCAAATTCAGCATTATACTGATGAAGATATGATGACAGCTGTAGATAATTCACAGGGTCCGAAGCACAGCCCACATTGCAAAATCTTTTTCTGCAGGTTGTGTGCAATTACACATTTCCACCAGAGAGGTCTCCAAATCCCCAAATCTTACATAGTGTAGCTTTAATGAGAGTTGGGACATAGATGCTTAGAGGCATGTAGGTTTTTTTTGCCTTCTGTTTTCATGGATTGAAACTAGCTTGATAACAACTTAATGCAAGGGCAAGAAAACACAGACCAGGCCTAATCCAACAGGTTAGTGTTCATTCCTTTTTAGTGTTTTTAGTATAAGTGACTGTATAAACTACTAACAGCAGAAAAGGGTCCTGTATGGAGCCCTAAACCAGTTCATATTTTAATGTGCTGCAGTATTACAATATAGCAGAAACCAGAAATTGTCATATTATGATGGCAGGTTTGGATGGGACACCAATTAAAAACATCCTCTCAGTCATGCCAAAGCTTTTTTGATGAAGAGAGGTAAAATAATACAACAGAACAAAAGCTCTGGGCTGGGGGTGGGAGATATGGCAAAAATATCATATCACGTTCCTTCAAGACATTTTCACCAAATATGATATGCCTTTTCTGAGATTTGACACGCTGGAACTGACAAAATATTATCTGTACAGCCACATAAAAAAAATACAACTACTACTACTATCATTGCTACTACTACTACTACTACTACTAATAATAAAAAAACTACAACCGCAGTGATTTTATTTTACAGGCATCACTGCACTAAATCCAGCTAATCAGGCTAATTATGCTCACTTTGTAAAGAAACCTACGGCGCCCCGCTGGTGACATCCTGTATAAATAAAAATAATGTGTGGCCTTATTAACGCGTGGGAACAAAATCACGGCTTACGAAGTCGTGGCCACGCATTAGGATCTTGTTCCCATGCTTTACTAAGTTGTGGCCACGACTTAATCATCTCATTCGCACACCTTACTAAGTTGTGGCCATGTATTATTTTTATTTATACAGGATGTCACCAGTGGGGCTCCGTAGAAACCTTAAATTGACCAGTGCTTTTGACTGATGATATTCATGAAATCCTCAGAAAAGCGTATTGTTACATAATTTATCATAATAACAATAAAATATCATCACATTGCCCATTTCTACTTTAGACAGTCCTCAATCCTGGTCCGGGGGTAGCTCTGCCAGACCAGACCAACTCAGGAAGGGCCTGTTAATTAATTTATAAGTCTAATCAAATAGTAGTTGTAAATATTATATTACAAATGAAAATATAAAAAAAATATTTAGCATAAATATATAATTTATACTATATATTTAGGATAATGTTATAAAATACATGATTAAAACTTGATCTGAAACCTCCATACTATGCATATTTTTATATTGCTTTCTCTTTTTAAACATTGCACTGTCAAATAAAAAATACAGCCTTAATTTTTATAAAGTATTAACTGCCAAAATATCTGTTTAAATTGTTTTTAATTCACTTAAAAAAAAGTTTTTTTTTCTTTCGAAGTTAAAAATACGGTGGCGATATGCAAATTATCCTCCAAGTCTGACCAATCAGCAGCGCGCTGACTGTATTCATTTCAATATCCTCACAGAAGTTTACTGAGCTTGTCGACCTCAAAATAACGGTGTAAATTTGTTCATAAATGATTAAATACTGACACATTATTGTACTAAATAATGTGAAACATGTATTGAAACATGCGGAGGGGAGAACAAACTGGTTTTAGGCTTTATTAGCTTCAGAATATGTGAATATGAAACGCTAACTGGCTCACCGGGCCATGCTCGGGTCTCCAGCCGGACTCAGCGACCTGCCAGCCGGTGAAGCGGCGCAGGAAAGTGCCGCGGATCCAAACTCGGTCCTCTCCTGCTTTACCTCCTCTAAATTTCTCAATACTGCTTTAAAAATAAGATCCACGGTCAGTCAGAAGTGAAATATATTCTCTTTCTGGGCAGCTTGTGCTCTGTTTGCCGTTATTTGTCCGCCCACAGTGTCCGCTCTGTAATACAGGACGAAGCCGTTTTAGACTCCACACAAGCTGCGAGTCGTAAACGAGCAAAAACACCAGTAAAGCTTATTGAATTTAAAGCGTATAAATAAACCGCACCGGTACGGTTTCTGCTGCTTAGACTGAATTAGCAAAAATGCAATATTCAGACAGAAATGAAGTCAGAAAAGCCGAAAGCAGAAGAGTTTCAAAAACTAACTAGCGAGTTTCTGCAAGTTGTAACAACGAACTTGACCACCAGAGGGCGCCGCGCTTAACGTGTCCTAGTTAATAAACTGAGGGGCGCATTGATCCACATGTTAATCCAGCTGTAATAAACACGACTTTTTAAGAGAAAACAGAAAATGTGAACACTGTGATCAATGACTCAGTTCACCTCACTAGAAATCCTTACCTTGTCCTTTCACAGCTGTTCATTCTAATAATATATGTTATAGATATATACAGCATTCTCTTATAGATATAATCCATCAAACACGCTGTAATGCTGTGGAAGAATCAAATCAAATCAAATCACGTTTATTACATTCACACAGGTGGAAAGTGAGTGAAAATCTTAGGTGCGTAGCCCCTTTATAGAATTTAAATACAAATATATATATATATATATATATACAAAGAAAAAAAAATAGATAATAAATGAGATGCAGGTACAGAGGGATAGAATACCAATATAGAAATCTTCCAGATTAATCAAGATATGGATATGAGATATAGATTGACATCTTGTACATGTGCAAGTACAGATTTGCTAGATTGAAGGTGCAGTAAGATCAGAGTGAGTCTGATGAGATGTGGATGAGGTGTGGATTGTCCATGGAGATCATCATCATGATGACTCAGAGGTGCAGTGACGGGCCTATAGACCGATACACCAGCACTCCTGGCTGTTCAGCAGCCTGACGGCCCGGGGGAAGACACTGTCTCAGAACCGGCTGTTTCTGAACTTTATGCTTCTGTACCTCCTCCCGCTCGGCAGCTGTGAGAACAGACAGCGGCTTGGGTGGGTGGAGTCCTTTAGAACCCTCTTGGTCTTCCTCAGGCAGCGGCTGGTGTATAAATCCAGGAGGTTTGGGAGCTGGACCCTGGTGATGTGCTGGGCTGTCCGCACCGCCCTCTGCAGAGCTCTATATATACATATATAAATACGTCCTTCACATTAAGCAAATTACAAGTACTTCTATCCTTTTGAGACCTGGTAGTTCATTTTCGTCCTCTGTGGGGGACATGAGTGCTCAAAGGATAGTTCAAAAACCATATAAGCTACAGTGCTTGAACCTGGTGCACCATGAAGAGGACATCCTGGCCTTTCCAATCATATATCATTTGACATCATAACAAAAGAACCATTTTCTTTACTAAAGAACCCTTAAAGAACCATCTTTTTTAAGCGTGTACTATAAAACCTTACAGCAATGGATCAGGATTTTTAAGACAATGTGAAACTGAAATCATACACTTAAATACAGGGTTCTTCCAGGATTCTTTAGTAAAGGGAATGGTTCTATTTAGAACCATGAGTTCTATATAGAACCATTTCATGCTCAAATGGTTATTTGCATGGTGAAATGGTTCTTCAGGTTGATGGAGAATTGCTGTATATGGTTCTATATAAATCCTTCGGAAATGGTTCTCTATAGCACGGAAAAAGGTTCTTCTATTGTTGCAAGCCTGACATCGTGACAATTAAAGAACCTTTTTTGGTGCTAAATAAAACCATAGGCAGCACATTCTCCATCAGTCTGAAGAACCATTTAAGCGTGAAATGGTTCTAAATAGAACCCGTGGTTCTAAACAGAACCATAGCTTTTACTAAAGGACCCCTGACAAAACGTCATTTTTTAGTTGTGTAGCTCATTTTCCTTCTGCACTGTGATATATTTGTGAGGGAAACACAGAGTCAGAGAGACTCTGAGTTAGCTGAGTGTTATATCTCAGTGAGTGTGTTTACATGTACTTAATAATACGATCGTAATCAGATTTTTGCAGTTATCTGATTATTCAAATGGTCGTGTAAACAGCACACTGATTTCTTAGATCGGAGTAAGGTCTAGAAATCTGATTAAGAAATCCGATAAAGAGAGCTGGATTTTAGCTCAGTAATCAGATTTCTCAGTGAATCTAAACTCTTACTCTGATTTCTTTCATTTCTCTCAGTCTGCGCCTGTGCGAAACAAACAGCAGTACCAGAAATAAGCGAGCAGCGTCGCCGCGAGACGCAGCAAAACACTTTTGGAGCGACACTGAAACCAAATACATGCTTTAGGAAATGAAGGATTTAAATATTCTTCATCTTCTAGATGATGTATGTTCATATTTTCAGGTAAAGCGGCGCTGTTTTAAAAAAAGTCGCATCATTAAGTTTGAGTTTTACGTTACGTTTACATCACGTCTTCTTCTGTGAGTTTATTGGCTGGTTTTAATGCAGAAATCTGATTACTGTCTGACTCATGTAGACCTGGAGTTTTCCCATTATCTGATACTGAAGCGCATGTAAATGTGTTGATCGGATTACTGACGAAATCTGATTTTCTGCAGTTATCGGATTATTAAGTGCATGTAAATGCACTCAGTGATGGGTGGCAGGGGAGGTGCAACATGACTTCATTGGTTAATATTATTTTGCCCCACCCACTGGTGCATGGTGATGTAATCAAACATCAGAAGATGTTTTAGAGGCAGGAAAAAGCCATTAAGTGTTGATAGAAGATTAGGGAAAAACAAGAATTTTTCAAGGCCAAAAAAGTTGCCATTTCTGTCATTTTATCCACTCTTTTTCTTAGAATACCACGTTTTTTGTGAATGATTTACTACTTTGAACAACTCACATCAGTCATGCTTAATCATTACGCTGATTAAACAAAACCGTAATCGGCACTTAAGAATTCTGTTATGAATGAGCTGAAGAAACATCAACACGCCAGCAGGGACATGCATGTGGCATTTGTCTTAATATTTCCAGGGACTGAACTAAATATTTTCATGTCAGGTTGACATATTATGTATATGTGCAGGTACAGTAAACAAAAAAATCAGAAACTTTATTTTCTGTCCGTACAGTACGGCAGCCAGTTTCAGTGCAATAGTGACAAATCTCCATGAGCCAAGTAGGAGTTCTACTTCCAGGACGTGATGTTCGCCCCCTTTCAGTGCGACAGCTTGTACAGTTCCTCTGCGCTGTTCTCCAGTCGGTCTCTGTACTCCAGATTGCTGTAGTTACCTGGAGGAACTCCCTCTGTTCCGTACAGCAAACCCCAACAGCAGCAGGCGATCACTGCAGTACTGTCACTGTCGCCTGAAGACGGAGAAGAGAGACGTTAACATGAGTCACTCACCTTCTGGCTGCAGTGAAAAGCCACACATGGATTCTCCACAGACTTTAATGAACATCTCAGCAACTTCTGTCATGATTTGTACTGAACTTCATGACGACCTGAACATCTGACATGTTTCTAGAAGCTGTTTTCCACACATTAAACGTCTCACCCACCACATTCCACACCTACCATTCTGAATGTGTTCCACCTTGTTCCACACCTACCATCCTGTATGTGTTCCACCATGTTCTACATCTACCATCCTGAATGTGTTCCACCATGTTCTACATCTACCATTGTGTATGTGTTCCACCATGTTCCACACCTACCATCCTGTATGTGTTCCACCATGTTCCATACCCACATCTGTCTGCTAAAAATACCCAGCCTAAAAACCTACCATTTATTAATTACTACCTATTTTTTAATGATTGCTGACCTCCATGAAATGCCACTCGGTTCATTAGCTCTTCCCAGTTTGAGCCCGCCCCCAGAAGGGCATCCAGTGCTATCATTGGGGCGTCATGGCCGCTGCTTCCCCCCCATCCACTCCAACTGAAGCTTTCATAAGCCTTGTCTCGTTCAGCCGGCCCATATGGGTCAGGCCAGACCACCGGCCCCGTCCCAGATGACAAACCTCTCAATTCAAGATACCTGAGAAGAGAAAATAAAGAAAATGTGTTTCTAAAATTTTAAAGAAAGTTTTTCTTGAACCGAATTCAGCCCCCAGCAGAACGTTTGGTGACCTTTTTTATTCTAGTATATTTCGATATGTTCAGACACTACATGTCCAAAGGTTTGTAGACACCTGCTCATCCACTGTTTCTTCTGAAAGGGTATTAATAGGGAGTTTGTTCCCCTTTGCTGCAGTAACAGCCTCTACTCTTCTAGAAAGACTTCATGCTAGATGTTGGAGCATTGCTGTGAGGATCTAACTGCATTCTGCCACAAAAGCTTTAGTGAGGTCAGGTACTGATGTTGGATGATCAGTTCTGGATCACTTTATCTCATCCCAAAAATATCTTGTATCCCAAAAGATGGTATCTTGTCAAGTGAAATGATCTTATATCTAGTCGGTGTATCTAATATTTCCCATTTTGAGATGGCTGTGCACTTATTGTAAGATTATCCAGCTCATTTATAGACATTTTCACTTATTTTCAGTCATTTTATTAAGTAAAATTATCTCACTACACTTTGGATGGACTGGTGACCTGTCCAGGGTGTATCTTGCACCCCTCCACTGCGACCCAGGAGGATAAGCGGTTTAGAAAATGTGTGGTTAGAAAATCTCACTATACTGGATGTCACGCATCCTTTAGGCTCTGAGGTCTCTAGGGACTCCATTTCCCAGAACCCCCAGGGAAATCACATGATTCTCAGCCCTCCATCTCACTCCAATCACCGCTCTCTGTCACTGGAGTATTAACTGATTTCACCTGTTGTCATATAATTAGCTTAGGCTTTTAGTCTAGTTCATTGCGAGGTATTGCTTCTTTTCCCAAGAGCTACTGAGCGTTATATTCTTCTGTCTATTGTGATTTTCCGGTTTTCGACTCTGTTTGCTGTTTTTGACTTTTGCCCTTTGGACTTTGTTCGCCTTATGTTTGTCTTTTTGTGTTGCTTGCCTTTGCTGGATTTGACCTTCGCCTGCTTTTGGACCAAGATATTGGATTACAACTCAAACATTAAAGCCTCACTCTCCTTTTTTAACCGCAAGCGTCTGAGTTATTCTGCCTCGTTACACTGGGAGATAATTTTGCTGGTTTCAAGCACCGTTCTCAAAACAAGCACAATTATCTGCCAATATAGTGAGAATTTTACTTAATAAAATTACTGAAAACAAGTAAATCGTCTAGACATCATCTGAAATTGATACATAATCTTAAATCTTAATCTTAAATTAAGCTTAAAACAATTTCAACAGGAGAAATATTAGATGTATTGTCTATATTTAAGATAATTTCATTTGACAAGATACCATTTTATGCAGTATAGGCTCATGTACTGCTCATCCATAGCAATGCTTGGCAATGCTTTTCTATGGAGATTATGAAAGCTGTATGTTTGCAATAGAATACCTGTGTCAGCAATGAGTGCATCTGAAAGTAGCTGAATTCACTAATTAGAAGGGGATACTTTTGGGCATATAGTATATATTCTAACCTACACACTGATGAGTGTAGTTATTCAGATTATAGAATTCCAAACACAGTATTTGGTTAACTTACTTACATAATCACGTTTTCAAATAATGCATTTATAGTGTGAAATTATCTGCAATCAGGTACAAATCACCTCTTATGCCAGCAGCACATAAACAAATTTTACACCGTCTGGTGTCATCTCACTCTCCACCACAACATTCCCATTCCACCATTCCATCTCACATATCCCATTCTCACCATTCCCATTTCTCAGTGAAGTATCCCCAGTCTCTCTCCGTCTCCTCCACAGCGTATCCTGCTGTTTTCACAAACTCCTTCGCTGCTGGACAGGCTTCCTTTACTAAGCCCAGCCCCCATTCTGTGATTGGACGGCGCTGGACGGCGTAGGCCGTGAACAGAGCCGAAGCCAGACCACCCAAGAATCCGGTTGGATGAGGGTGGGTCATCCTTCCCGTCTCCACAGCAACAGCCACCAATGAGGACAGCTGTTCAGGCCGAGGGTATCTGGCACAATGTGAGCGGGGTAAATCATTCATAAAGAAATACTTGTGCTTATGCTTTATATGAACACATTCACACTTGTTCTCACCTCAAGCCGATGCACATCGTTCTCATGGCAGCTCCACATCCTCCACTCCTTGGGTTGTAAGGAATTCTGTAGCCGCCTTCAGTGCCTGGCTTTAACATTGATGCACCTGCGGAGAGAAATTTAGGATTAGAGTTTGGAACTGAACTATTCAAATATTCCTGTTTTTACACAAAGAGTATGTCGCTGCTGTCGGAAGAAACCTTGTATCTCCATTTTTGTTGTTCTTCAGTTTTTGACATAATTTAAAAATGTCCGCTGCCCTTTACACTGTGTATAAATTTCATGATAAATGGATCAAAAGAAACGGCCCAAAATGACTTGGATAAAAAAGTCTGGTTCCATTGACTTACATTAAAAGTAAAGTAGGTTTTTTCCCTCTACTGTAAAGTTACCATTTTGGAGATACAAGGTTTTCTTCCGACAACAGCGATTTAAATATTTGTTATGAATATAAAACTAAAACACGAAAGGCCTAACATTTGTTTATCACCTGCAGCTGGCTAGAGCTACCTGAGGGTTCAGCTGATTTAATGAGTTATCTTTCTGATTTAGGGATATGATATTTACCACGTTACCAGTCGACCTACAGAACAATAGCTCACATAATCTTGTACAAATTTGCCATCTTATGATTTACAGCTACAGTATTTACATATTTAGCTCTGCCATTGGTGCCATTCCACTTATCATTAGACACAATATCACTATTTTTCCCCAAACTACACATTCACGAATGAATTCTAACTAGGATGATAAGTAGTAAGTGAAGTACTAAAAAGCTAGTTTGTCATTATTTCCCAATGATTCATGTGATGTTTTTACCCATGATGGTAGAACCTCCTGGTTCCCTCCCTGTCATGTCCTTCATCCCTTCCACATAACGAAAAGCCACTTCCTGCAGAAGCTCCTCCCCTTTCTTTCCTACGAGAAAGCAACAAATCAATATCAGCATTTTACGCTGGAATTAGCTGTGAGAATGAACATCTGGTTGGGCAAAGAAACCTGTTGCTAAAGCTTCAGCAGTGGCCAGGTGGAGGACAGTGTCGTCGCTGACTGACCAGTCGGGCAGTTTAACCGTGATGTTCTTCAGTCCTCCGAGCTGCTTTACAGCCTACCAAATGAAAAGAGGAACGTTATGTGACTTTACAGAATCAATTCTGTCCTCTCACTGAATCAATGAATCGTTGCAGATTCCTCCACGTCCCAAAAAATCACACTGTATCACTCTCACACCAGCCTGAGCTAAATTTACCCTAAAAAATCACAAACTCAGTCTGCTTGTCAGAATCAAGCTGTCATCATCCAGCCAGTCTACAACTCCGTGTGCCATCTGCACACATGTGCCAGAAGCTAAATGTAGACACTGGATGAGAAGCCACTGTCGCTGAAGCTATAAAGATAGTACCACTTTCATCTGGGCCTAGATGTGTCACTGTCAACAGTCATAAATTATGGTAAATTATGAGTAAACCGACATTGGATATAATGAATATCCATCAATATCCTTAATTAAGATCATCCTTAAAGTCATCTGAATGAGGACACACACCGATCAGGCATAACATTATGACCACCTCCTTGTTTCTATGCTCATTGTCCATTTTATCAGCTCCACTTACTATATAGGTGCACTTTGTAGTTCTACAGTTACAGACTGTAGTCCATCTGTTTCTCTGATACTTTGTCAGCCCCCTTTTACCCTGTTCTTCAGTGGTCAGGACCCCCATGGACCCTCACAGAGCAGGTACTATTTGGGTGGTGGATCATTCTCAGCACCGCAGTAACACTGACGTGGTGGTGGTGTGTTAGTGTGTGTTGCGCTGGTCTGAGTGGATCAGACACAGCAGTGCTACTGGAGTTTTTAAACACCTCAGTGTCACTGCTGGACTGAGAATAGTCCACCAACCAAAAATATCCAGCCAACAGCGTCCTGTGGGCAGCATCCTGTGACCACTGATGAAGGACTAGAGGATGACCAACACAAACTGTGCAGCAGCAGATGAGCTACCATCTCTGACTTTACATCTACAAGGTGGACCGACAAGGTAGGAGTGTCTAATAGAGTGGACAGTGAGTGGACACAGTGTTTAAAAACTCCAGCAGCACTGGATCCACTCGTACCGGCACAACACACACTAACACACCACCACCACGTTAGTGTTACTGCAGTGCTGCAGAATGATCCACCACCCAAATAGTACCTGCTCTGTGAGGGTCCATGGGGGTCCTGACCACTGAAGAACAGGGTAAAAGGGGGCTAACAAAGTATGCAGAGAAACAGATGGACTACAGTCTGTAGAACTACAAAGTGCACCTATATAGTAAGTGGAGCTGATAAAATGGACAATGAGCGTAGAAACAAGGAGGTGGTCATGATGTTATGCCTGATCGGTGTATCAGGCTAATCATTAATAATTCCATCCTTACACCTACCTCGTGGATGTCTGGCCCGGAATAGTTGAACTCCCACTTGAAGCCAATAGCATCTCCAGCGCCGCTTAGCAGCATGCCAGCCTTGTAGTGCTCGAGAGTAGCAGGACTGGAACAAGGAAGCAAATGAGTTAGTTTATACTAAGCATGTAACATCTATTAACTCCATTATAAGGTACAGGAATCCATTGCTTTCATAGTGTTCATGGAGGCCATTATGGAGATTTTTACCCTTCTTGACACTTGAGATGTGGATGCTAACAAGCATGGCTGCAGTTTGCATGCAGTATAGACACTGTACAATGTAGAAGAACAGCAGGATTATTTTTAAAGGAGGTTCATTTCCAGCTCCATTTGTTTTAGGAGGACTGCAAAACATTTACAGACACTTTCGCTCTATTTGCGATTATGTATATTACATCACACAAGTGCCTCAACATGAGCGCATCACCAAGAGAAGGCAAAGATAGCGCAGCTGGCTCTGGTGTGGTGTATTTGCTAACTAGGCTAACTACTCTAGTTGAAGTTAAAAAGGTCCAGAAACAGTGAAAATATATTTCTCTGACAAACTAACATGTTGGTACGAAGCCCCTAAGGGGCCGTGGCTGTTTAAAAAAAAAAAAATTCATGGCATTGCGTTCCCTCGCAAATAAAATGTGTTCCCTCACAAATGTTTTGCATTACGATGCAACGGTTTTGCATTCGCTTGCAAAAGCTGTGCTTTGCTTAAGCTCAGATATGAAGCAGCTCTTTGAATTTACATTGATCTTGGATTGAAATATAAAGACCGGTCGCTTCTCAAATCAAACATGATTCTGCTGTTAGTGACTCAAACTGAGACTGAGGTCGAGTGCCCTCGTACAGTGAAAGCTACATTTACAGAGAAGCAGAGAACAATAGCTGAATAAACTCAGCACAGACTGGCCAAACTGGGAAAACAGCTTTTAACGTTAAATATGCTAAAAACAAAGCTCTAATGTAGGCAATGTCGTTGGGCACCTCTGGTCCTACGTTTGCTTCATGTGTGATATATTTTGGGGAGTTATTATATTATAGGGAACGCATATATTTTGCGAAGGAATGCAAAACATTTGCGAGGGAACGCAACGTCATTAACTTAACCACGGCCCCTTAGGGGCTCCATATGTTGGCACATATAGAATCCGGTTGGATGAGGGTGGGTCATCCTTCCCGTCTCCACAGCAACAGCCACCAAAGAGGACAGCTGTTCAGGCCGAGGGTATCTGGCACAATGTGACCGGGGTAAATCATTCATAAAGAAATACTTGTGCTTATGCTTTATATGAACACATTCACACTTGTTCTCACCTCAAGCCGATGAACATCGTTCTCATGGCAGCTCCACATCCTCCACTCTCTGGGTTGTAAGGAATTCTGTAGCCGCCTTCAGTGCCTGGCTTTAACATTGATGCACCTGCGGAGAGAAATTTAGGATTAGAGTTTGGAACTGAACTATTCAAATATTCCTGTTTTTACACAAAGAGTATGTCGCTGCTGTGGGAAGAAACCTTGTATCTCCATTTTTGTTGTTTTTCAGTTTTTGACATAATTTAAAAATGTCCGCTGCCCTTTACACTGTGTATAAATTTCATGATAAATGGATCAAAAGAAACGGCCCAAAATTACTTGGAAAAAAGTCTGGTTCCATTGACTTACATTAAAAGTAAAGTAGGTTTTTTCCCTCTACTGTAAAGTTACCATTTTGGAGATACAAGGTTTTCTTCCGACAACAGCGATTTAAATATTTGTTATGAATATAAAACTAAAACACGAAAGGCCTAACATTTGTTTATCACCTGCAGCTGGCTAGAGCTACCTGAGGGTTCAGCTGATTTAATGAGTTATCTTTCTGATTTAGGGATATGATATTTACCACGTTACCAGTCGACCTACAGAACAATAGCTCACATAATCTTGTACAAATTTGCCATCTTATGATTTACAGCTACAGTATTTACATATTTAGCTCTGCCATTGGTGCCATTCCACTTATCATTAGACACAATATCACTATTTTTCCCCAAACTACACATTCATGAATGAATTCTAACTAGGATGATAAGTAGTAAGTGAAGTACTAAAAAGCTAGTTTGTCATTATTTCCCAATGATTCATGCAATGTTTTTACCCATGATGGTAGAACCTCCTGGTTCCCTCCCTGTCATGTCCTTCATCCCTTCCACATAATGAAGAGCCACTTCCTGCAGAAGCTCCTCCCCTTTCTTTCCTACGAGAAAGTAACAAATCAATATCAGCATTTTACGCTGGAATTAGCTGTGAGAATGAACAGCTGGTTGGGCAAAGAAACCTGTTGCTAAAGCTTCAGCAGTGGCCAGGTGGAGGTCAGTGTCGTCGCTGACTGACCAGTCGGGCAGTTTAACCGTGATGTTCTTCAGTCCTCCGAGCTGCTTTTTAGCCTACCAAATGAAAAGAGGAACGTTATGTGACTTTACAGAATCAATTCTGTCCTCTCACTGAATCAATGAATCGTTGCAGATTCCTCCACGTCCCAAAAAATCACACTGTATCACTCTCACACCAGCCTGAGCTAAATTTACCCTAAAAAATCACAAACTCAGTCTGCTTGTCAGAATCAAGCTGTCATCATCCAGCCAGTCTACAACTCCGTGTGCCATCTGCACACATGTGCCAGAAGCTAAATGTAGACACTGGATGAGAAGCCACTGTCGCTGAAGCTATAAAGATAGTACCACTTTCATCTGGGCCTAGATGTGTCACTGTCAACAGTCATAAATTATGGTAAATTATGAGTAAACCGACATTGGATATAATGAATATCCATCAATATCCTTAATTAAGATCATCCTTAAAGTCATCTGAATGAGGACACACACCGATCAGGCATAACATTATGACCACCTCCTTGTTTCTACGCTCATTGTCCATTTTATCAGCTCCACTTACTATATAGGTGCACTTTGTAGTTCTACAGTTACAGACTGTAGTCCATCTGTTTCTCTGCATACTTTGTCAGCCCCCTTTTACCCTGTTCTTCAGTGGTCAGGTCCCCCATGGACCCTCACAGAGCAGGTACTATTTGGGTGGTGGATCATTCTCAGCACCGCAGTAACACTGACGTGGTGGTGGTGTGTTAGTGTGTGTTGCGCTGGTCTGAGTGGATCAGACACAGCAGTGCTGCTGGAGTTTTTAAACACCTCAGTGTCACCGCTGGACTGAGAATAGTCCACCAACCAAAAATATCCAGCCAACAGCATCCTGTGACCACTGATGAAGGACTAGAGGATGACCAACACAAACTGTGCAGCAGCAGATGAGCTATCGTCTCTGACTTTACATCTACAAGGTGGACCGACAAGGTAGGAGTGTCTAATAGAGTGGACAGTGAGTGGACACAGTGTTTAAAAACTCCAGCAGCACTGGATCCACTCGTACCGGCACAACACACACTAACACACCACTAATCATTAATAATTCCATCCTTACACCTACCTCGTGGATGTCTGGCCCGGAATAGTTTAATTCCCGCTTGAATCCAGTAGAATCTCCAGCGCCGCTTAGCAGCATGCCAGCCTTGTAGTGCTCGAGAGTAGCAGGACTGGAACAAGGAAGCAAATGAGTTAGTTTATACTAAGCATGTAACATCTATTAACTCCATTATAAGGTACAGGAATCCATTGCTTTCATAGTGTTCATGGAGGCCATTATGGAGATTTTTACCCTTCTTGACACTTGAGATGTGGATGCTAACAAGCATGGCTGCAGTTTGCATGAGGTCGAGTGCCCTCGTACAGTGAAAGCTACATTTACAGAGAAGCAGAGAACAATAGCTGAATAAACTCAGCACAGACTGGCCAAACTGGGAAAACAGCTTTTAACGTTAAATATGCTAAAAACAAAGCTCTAATGTAGGCAATGTCGTTGGGCACCTCTGGTCCTACGTTTGCTTCATGTGTGATATTATATTTTGGGGAGTTATTACATTATAGGGAGCGCATATATTGTGCGAAGGAATGCAAAACATTTGCGAGGGAACGCAACGTCATTAACTTTTTTTTTACCACGGCCCCTTAGGGGCTCCATATGTTGGCCCATCGTCTAAAGAGGCAAAAAGAGCTTGTGTAGAAAATGGCCTCCTCATTATCCAACTTCAGTTAGCTCTAGTGTTAGCTCATTAGCTCATCTGAAAAGGCAGCCTCCAACACAAAAACTACTATTTTCCCTTGGCTGCATTTGATATTCTAATATCTTTTCAAAATATTTAACTTAGAACCATTTTTGTTTTGCTTTTTTTCACTCCCAATCAACTACATATTTCTGTTCATTAACTCTTATGGACACTTAAGTATTAGTCCCAAGCGCACATCCACAGTTCCATTACAGTGAAATGAAAAGTAAGTGCACCTCAGATGTACATTTACCTCCATATTCGCCTCAGTCATTTGTACTTTACAGTATGATTGTTTTGCACATTGCTGCTCAGATAAACACCCAGAGCTGCTCTGAATGGCCTGGATCTGTTTTCACTGTTTTCTCCCAGCGCTATTGCCAGTTCCCATCACTGCCACCCACTCACAGTCACAAAGCAGCTGTTACTGATCTACCATGCACGACTTAACACTCAGCCCTTGTTGCAGGTACAGAGGAACTGTATCCTTCTTGAGTCTCCCACTCACAGAACCCACTCCGCTGGCCTGTACGTGTAACTGTGTAATATTAGCTGGCTGAGCTTCTGCTTTATTAATATCTCAGTTCCGCCTTAAAGTGATATTCTGAAAAATAACATTTACACATTTGTGAAGTTCTGCACTGGAGCTGCGAGGCTAACATAGCTAACAAGTAACACTAATACTGTGCAAATTGATGAATGAATCACTACAACATAGTTGTTACATATTTCAAATAGACTTATTGCCTATGTGGTTTCTGATACTGTATGACAGACTGTTATCTATGGAAGTGCCAGCAAACAACATTCAGGCCCTTTGAGATTACTTGACTTGTCATAGGCAATGATTTAGTTTGCACAGTGGAAACGAGTTAATGAATAATAATAACAGTATTATTAAATCTTTATTTGTGTAGCACTTTTCATTTTATTTACAAAATCTCAAGGTGCTTTACACAGGGAGATGTGTAAAACATTAGACCCAATACAATAGGCATAAACTAGCCTGAACAAACATGAATTTAATATGGATTTAAAAACCCGTATCAAGCTTGCATTCCTATTATTCTCTAGAATGCTTTTCAGAGTTTAGGAGCTATATAAGAAAATGGGCTTCAACCAACTGAGCTGGAATTGATCCTAGATGTTTGTGCTGGTGAGAGGAACCAGGGGTCACCATGTCAACACAAATAGAGCCATTTTATTTACTATCCAAAACCACCAGTGAACCTACACGAGTCTTCTGAGGTTATATGGAATATTGATGATGGTAAAATAGTGATAAATCTGAAAAAATAAGACTATTTTTCCTTACACTTATCTCTCCACCATTAACGGATTTAAGATTATATGTTTTAGGCCTAAATCTTCTTTCAAAACTATCATAAGTACATGTCTCAGGTACCAGGCAGAGTATCTGTAGCCTTTACATGTAATAGCTTTCTTTGAGGGACCTTTTAGAGGCATTAAACTCTTCAGACGTCTGGTTCCTATCACCACCACTGTGAACTATTTGACAAATTTCACATCAAACTACTCTAAATAACGCTTTTATTCTGAGAGTAAAAGAGAGGAAACGTATGTGTGTTTTATATTTTACTGAACTTTTGCTTTAAGCTACAGCATTTTTAGGCCGGCGTAGGCCAGATATTGATATGCGCAGCACATTAGGATGTCAGGGAACACCGGAAGAGGCCTTCAGTGCTGTGTTCTGTGACCCATATCAGATATGGATGATACTGTAGAGCAGTATGATCATGCTCATCTTCTAATGCACCCATTTATTACGCAAGAATTTCCTGGCAATGAGCTGCCGAGTGAGTCAGGTTTGTTAGCCTTGAAAACAGGAACATGTACCATCCAGGGCAAGATACTCCAGTGAGAGACTTCTATAGTACATAGCAAGTTATAAAAAAAGAGGTTTTAGGAACCACCAACTGGACTTGGACGTCCTGACTGTGCTGCTAAGTCTGCTTACCTGTCCATCTTGAGAATCCTTGGCCAGACTCTCAACGGTCCAAGTCACGGATGAAGACTTCCCCTTTTCTTTCTTTTGTTCTTTAATACAAAGTCCACAGGTCACAAGACATCCTGTAACTGCTGTGCCAAACAAAACAATGTGCTGCTGTTTCACTAACTCACCTCCACACCGTCTCGGCTGTAGGGTGAATCCAGTGGATCTGACTGGATTTTTAACTGCACTGCTTTTTGTCTTATGTGGTTTGATAGGTCAGGATTTCCCCTCTGATTAAACAGCACTGCAAATGGGAACGTCTCATTAATACTAATACTTAATGTTTAATTCATACAAATAGACCAAATGATTTACTGTAACTGTTAAATAGCTAAGAAAATGTTTTTATATAAAATATAATCTAAAAATTTTCTTAGCTATACTTTTACTATATTTTTACTATCAATCCCTCTTTTTTGCATAATGCTTGACTACATTGTAAATAAGCGTCTCCCTCAATATACTCTGCATTTAAATAAAAGTAGACTAATGAATTGATTGATTGATATTTGATATTCTGATGGCGGGTGTGGATGGAACACCCATTAAAAACATCCTCTCAGTCATGGCGATGCTTCTTTGATGAGTTTCCCAGCTCCAGTCCTGTAGCTGTGGTTCTCAATCCTGGTCCTGCACTTAATTAGTTCATTAGTTGCACCAGGTAGTAGTATAACTATTTTTATGTCATATTTATATAATTATATGAATATGATATCTAAATAATTACAAATTATATAATGGGTGTGTGTGCATATATATAGATGGTATGTTTAAAGTAATTTAGTAACAAATATAGCATAATTTTATAAAATACACCCATTTAAAAACTTGATTTGAATCCTCCGTATTATGTATATTTGTATATTGCATTGCACTTTATCAAATAAAAAATACAACCTTATATTTTTATAAAGCATTAATTGCCAAAATACTTGTTTACATAGTTACGTTTTTAATACATTTTCAATGTTAGGAATGCGGGGACGATATGCAAATTACCCATATGGTTGACCAATCAGCAGCGCGCTGACTGTGTTCATTTTAATATCCACGCGGAAGTCGGCCTCAAAATAACAGTGTAAATTGTTCATAAATGATTAAATACTGACACATTATTGTACTAAATAATGTGAAACATGTACTGAAACATGCTGAGGGGAGAACAAACTGCTTTTAGGCTTTATTAGCTTCAGAATATGTGAATATGAAAACGCTAACTGACTCACCGGGCCATGCTCGGGTCTCCAGCCGGGCTCAGCGACCTGCCAGCCGATGAAGCGGCGCAGGAAAGTGCCGCGGATCCAGACTCGGTCCTCTCCTGCTTTACCTCCTCTAAACTTCTCAATACTGCTTTAAAAATAAGATCCACGGTCAGTCAGAAGTGAAATGGGTTCTCTCTGCGGGCAGCTTGTGCTCTGTTTGCCGTTATTTGTCCGCCCACCGTGTCCGCTCTGTAATACAGGACGAAGCCGTTTTAGACTCCACACAAGCTGCGAGCTGTAAACGAGCAAAAACCACCAGTAAAGCTTATTGAATTTAAAGCGTATAAATAAACCGAACCGGTACGGTTTCTGCTGTCTAGACTTACAGAAATGAAGTCAGAACAGCGTAGAGCTGAAGAACCAGAAAAACTAACGTTACTCAAGTTTCTCCAAGTAAAAACGAAAGAGACCACCAGAGGGCGCTCAACGTATTCTAATGATTAAACTGCGGGACATTGGTGCAGCATTGAAGGGGAATTCGACTCATTTGGTTTTTGCATAATTAGATGGTTAAGATGCCATTCAGACTGGTTTGAAGTGAGATGCTTTGTTCTAGAGGAACTTACAGAGTCAGAATTGTTCACAGTGGTGGTGATAGGAACCAGACGTCAAACCTCTAGACCAGTGGTCACCAGTTCTCCTCCTGGAGGTCAATTTTACTGCAGAGTTTAGTTAGCCCCCTTTTACCCTGTTCTTCAGTGGTCAGGGCCCCCATGGACCCTCACAGAGCAGGTACTGTTTGGGTGGTGGATCATTCTCAGCACTGCAGTGACACTGACGAGGTGGTGGTGTGATGTGCTGGCACGCGTGGATCAGACACAGCAGTGCTGCTCTAGTTTTTAAACACTGTGTCCGCTCACTGTCCACTCTATTAGACACTCCTACCTTGTCGGTCCACCTTGTAGATGTAAAATCAGAGACAATAGCTCATCTGCTGCTGCACAGTTTGTGTTGGTCATCCTCTAGTCCTTCATCAGTGGTCACAGGACGCTGATGGCTGGATATTTTTGGTTGGTGGACTATTCTCAGTCCAGCAGTGACACTGAGGTGTTTAAAAACTCCAGCAGCACTGCTGTGTCTGATCCACTCAGACCAGCACAACACACACTAACACACCACCACCACGTCAGTGTTACTGCAGTGCTGAGAATGACCCACCACTCAAATAGTACCTGCTCTGTGAGGGTCCATGGGGGTCCTGACCACTGAAGAACAGGGTAAAAGGGGGCTAACAAAGTATCAGAGAAACAGATGGACTACAGTCTGTAACTGTAGAACTTCAAAGTGCATCTATATAGTAAGTGGAGCTGATAAAATGGACAATGAGCGTAGAAACAAGGAGGTGGTCATGATGTTATGCCTCATCGGTGTATAATAAATATGTCTTTACATAAACTCTGGAGAAAGCAGGGAACTCTGTGGTCAAAGGTTCGCTGTTCACCTTATTAGAAATCTTTATGTTGTACTTTCACAGCAGTTCAGTCTCATGCGATCCATCAGACAAATTTTAATGATGTTTTAAGAATGAAGAGAAAAAATGAAGTGATATGAAGTGAGTGGTCAAAGCAGTTTATTTTAGTACCATCACAATTTTTATGTAGTGCCTGGTGATGGACTGGTCATTCTGTTCCAAGGTTGCTATGTTGTAGCACATATACTGTAGAACATTGCATATATTGCACAAACATGAAACGTGAAAACATGCATATATGTATTCTTCTTCAATTTGAGTCGACAGGCTCGGGTTGGGTTCAAAACCGAAACGCGATACTTGCGGTCAGGTAGGGCTTAGGCAGCATTACATACTAACAGGATTCAATTTGTATTTGCAAGTGAAACGTGGTGTCAGGGAGGGTCTCTGGGCTCGCCGAGTATTTCTCTCAATGACAGACGTATTAAAATATTGGTTAATATTAGTTTTCCCCACCCACTAGTGCACCGTGATGTCATCTGCTGGAGTTTTAATGTTATGCCTGATCGGTGTATTTCTGATGTTTTACTCACTTTTCTGGCTATAACACAATTCCTGAATGTTGCTGTTGTGTTTATCTGCGTTATTTTTGGTAAAGTGTTGTAACAAAGAGGAAAATTTGGAGATTTTTAATCAGTTTGGGTTGCAAACTACTATTTTGAACAAAAAAACACATGAATAAGGCCCAATTCCTTTTCACCCCTCGTCCCTACCACTTAGCCCTAACCCCTCAGTTTTGCGTGTTCACACCTAGGGGTAGGGTGTCACGATATTTGTTGAGATAGAGGGGTGGGGTGAAGTGTTGGGGGCTACATGGCCCTCTAAACTGAGGTGTTTCAGAGACTCCAAACAGAGCGTTATGAGAAAAAGAGAAAAACTGGCAAGATGGCTGAACAGGAGACCAAAGAAACCCACAAATGTGAGAATTTTCTCAGTTAACAAATTACAATAACCACTATATTATCTTAGTTTAGTGTCATTTCAATGTATTACGGTCCTTTTCTTCAAAACAAGCTTAAAGAAGCAGTAGTAGTGCTGATGTCTCAGTAGATAGCTAGCTAAAATTCCCGTTCCACCTTAAATGGTGCAGCAGTTCCACCTCTATTTAAGAAGCTGGCGAATATCTGACTTCAGCTTCGTTTCACTGAAGAATTAGGGGTGGGTGATAATAAATAATTGCCCCTCTCTTTGAAGGCATATGATTCCCTAAATGTAACTAAAGCCGAGCAGTGAGGAGCTGAACTTTACCCTCCTCTGCTGTCACTGCAGACTGGCAGGGTCGCCTACAGAGCAGCGCTAGTAGCTGTTAATGAAGTAATGCTTTTTTTATTTGAGGGTCCCATTTCATAGAGGAGGATTTCAACCACTACCCCTTATAAATTCAAAAGGCAAGAAGACACTCGAAAATAAGGGGTAGGGGTCAAAATAAGAAATGGGATAGTGTTAGAAAACTGATTGATCAAATCCATGTAGTGTAACTCCTGGCGGTAGATTTCCTTTGTTTTTTTTCAGGCCCATCGGTTTTATGTGGTTGATATGATCAATCCTGGTTAACATTCATTTTCTGTCTGTGTAGTGTCTTCTACTTCCAGGACGTGATGTTCGCCCCCTTTCAGTGCGACAGCTTGTACAGTTTCTCTGCGCTGGTCTCCAGTCGGTGTTTGTACTCCAGGTAGTTGTAGTTACCTGAAGGAACTCCCTCTGTTCCGTACAGCAAACCCCAACAGCAGCAGGCGATCACTGCAGTACTGTCACTGTCGCCTGAAGACGGAGAAGAGAGACGTTAACATGAGTCACTCACCTTCTGGCTGCAGTGAAAAGCCACACATGGATTCTCCACAGACTTTAATGAACATCTCAGCAACTTCTGTCATGATTTGTACTGAACTTCATGACGACCTGAACATCTGACATGTTTCTAGAAGCTGTTTTCCACACATTAAACGTCTCACCCACCACATTCCACCCCTACCATCCTGTATGTGTTCCACCATGTTCTACATCTACCATTGTGTATGTGTTCCACCATGTTCCACACCTACCATCCTGAATGTGTTCCACCATGTTCTACATCTACCATTGTGTATGTGTTCCACCATGTTCCACACCTACCATCCTGAATGTGTTCCACCATGTTCCACACCTACCATCCTGAATGTGTTCCACCACATTCTACATCTACCATCCTGTATGTGTTCCACCATGTTCCACATCTACCATCCTCAATGTGTTCCACCATGTTCCACACCTACCATCCTGTATGTGTTCCACCATGTTCCACACCTACCATCCTGTACGTGCTCCACCATGTTCCACATCTACCATCCTGTATGTGTTCCACAATGTTCTGTATCTACCATCCGGTATGTGTTCCACCATGTTCCACACCTACCATCCTGTATGTGTTCCACCATGTTCTACATCTACCATCCTGTATGTGTTCCACCATGTTCCACATCTACCATCCTGAATGTGTTCCACCATGTTCTATATCTACCATCCTGAACGTGTTCCACCACGTTCCACACCTACCATTCTGTATGTGTTCCACCATGTTCCACACCTACCATCCTGTATGTGTTCCACCATGTTCTACATCTACCATCCTCAATGTGTTCCACCACGTTCCACACCTACCATCCTGTATGTGTTCCACCATGTTCCACACCTACCATCCTGTATGTGCTCCACCACGTTCCACACCTACCATCCTGTATGTGTTCCACCATGTTCCACACCTACCATCCTGTATGTGCTCCACCATGTTCCACATCTACCATCCTGTATGTGTTCCACAATGTTCTGTATCTACCATCCGGTATGTGTTCCACCATGTTCCACACCTACCATCCTGTATGTGTTCCACCATGTTCTACATCTACCATCCTGTATGTGTTCCACCATGTTCCACATCTACCATCCTGAATGTGTTCCACCATGTTCTATATCTACCATCCTGAACGTGTTCCACCACGTTCCACACCTACCATTCTGTATGTGTTCCACCATGTTCTACAACTACCATCCTCAATGTGTTCCACCACGTTCCACACCTACCATCCTGTATGTGTTCCACAATGTTCTGTATCTACCATCCGGTATGTATTCCACCATGTTCTATATCTACCATCCTGAACGTGTTCCACCATGTTCCACACCTACCATCCTGTATGTGTTCCACCATGTTCTACAACTACCATCCTCAATGTGTTCCACCACGTTCCACACCTACCATCCTGTATGTGTTCCACCATGTTCCACACCTACTATCCTGTATGTGCTCCACCATGTTCTACATCTACCATCCTGTGTGTTCTACCATGTTCTACATCTACCATCCTGTATGCGATCCACCATGTTCTGTATCTACTACATTGTATCTGTTCTGCTATGTTCTATATCTACCATCCTATATGTGTTCCACCATGTTCTGTATCTACTATCCTTTATGTGTTCTATCATGTTCTACATATTTTTGGAAACCATTGCTGACCTCCATGAAATGCCACTCGGTTCATTAGCTCTTCCCAGTTTGAGCCCGCCCCCAGAAGGGCATCCAGCGCTATCATTGGGGCGTCATGGCCGCTGCTTCCCCCCCATCCACTCCAACTGAAGCTTTTATAAGCCTCATCTCGTTCAGCCGGGCCATATGGGTCAGGCCAGACCACCGGCCCGGTCCCAGATGACAAACCTCTCAATTTAAGATACCTAAGAGAAGAAGAAAGTCCACAAGTTTGTAAACACCTGCTCATCCACTGTTTCTTCTGAAATCAATGGTACCAATAGGGACTTTGCATTCAGCCAGCGGGCGTTAGGGAGGTCGAGTGTTGGATAATCAGTTGGATAATTAGTTCATGATCACAAACTCCATTCCAGCCCCTCCCAAAAGTATTTCATGGAGCTCCATCACTCCAGCCCAGTGCTGTATCCCTCTAGCTGATGCTTTGCATGAAGGATGATGACCTTAGGCTCGTGTGCAGCTGCTTCAGATCATCCCATTCTGTTGACAATGCTTTCCTATGAGATTACGGTAGCTGCATGTGCTCAACTGAATGCTGATTAGAAGGATGTCTGGATACTTTTGGACATGTAGTGAATATTCTAATTCAGACAGTATCATTACTAGGGATGGGTATGGTTCTTTAAAAGTACAGATACTAAAACTCATCTTAGTATTTTAATACTTAATCAGGTTTTCAAATGATGCATGTGTAGTTTAAAATTATTTGATATTACTTCATATAATACACCCCATCTCTTACGTCCATATGGCCCATTTTCATTTTCCATCTCACATATCCCATTCTCACCATTCCCATTTCTCAGTGAAGTATCCCCAGTCTCTCTCCGTCTCCTTCACAGCGTATCCTGCTGTTTTCACAAACTCCTTCGCTGCTGGACAGGCTTCCTTCACTAATCCCAGCCCCCATTCTGTGATTGGACGGCGCTGGACGGCGTAGGCTGTGAACAGAGCCGAAGCCACACCACCCAAGAATCCGGTTGGATGAGGGTGGGTCATCCTTCCCGTCTCCACAGCAACAGCCACCAATGAGGACAGCTGTTCAGGCTGAGGGTATCTGGCACAATGTGACCGGGGTAAATCATTCATAAAGAAATACTTGTGCTTATGCTTTATATGAACACATTCACACTTGTTCTCACCTCAAGCCGATGCACATTGCTCTCATGGCAGCTCCACATCCTCCACTCCTTGGGTTGTAAGGAATTCTGTAGCCGCCTTCAGTGCCTGGCTTTAACATTGATGCACCTGCGGAGAGAAATTTAGGATTAGAGTTTGGCGCAAAACTATTTTTGCTATTCAAATATCCCTGTTTTTACACAAATAGTTTTAGATTTTTTTATGTTATGAAAGCTAAAACAAGGAAGGTTTAACATTATTTGTTTTTGTCTGCAGCTAGCTAGGGCTACCCGAGTGTTTGGTTGATTTTACTTTGTATTTTAGGCACATTTTATTTACCACACCACCCGTCGACTTACGCAAACTTATAGCTTGAGATTCAGCATTTTCATATGCATCTCTGCCTAGATGATCTGGAGTTAATGTAGAACTGCTAATTCACTGACGTTTAATCCTGAAGGCTGGCGCGTAGACTGCTGGTCACTATAACAATGCAGGCAACAATCTGGCCTAGCTATAGCTAACAAAATGGCAAAGAAGAAAAAGATTCAAAACGAAACATCAATAATTTGGAGATAAATGAAATTGCATTTATAATCACTCCAGCTGGTTTCCTGATTCGTTTAATCTGCAACGAGAAACTGACAAACACTAAAACGTCACAAAGCTGAAGTCAGCTTCTCTCTCGTGCCAGCTTCTTGTTCACATTTTCCCGTTCCACCTTAAATCGTGCATCACTTAAATTTGAGGTAGAATGGGAAAATTCGAACAAGAAGCTGGCGAATGAGAAGCGACTTCAGGCTCATAAAAAGTCGAACGCTGAGAGTTTTACAAGAAACTATTCCCTTTTTGCAGAAAAGTTTCCTGCTAGAGATGCGAGAAATGTTAAAGCTTAAAGCAGAACAAAGTAAGTCTGCATTTCATTTATCTTTTTAGTCTATACTACTAGCTACATCAGCACATACTGAGACATATTTACAGTCAAGATGGTAAAATGTTGTGGCTCCCAAAGTGGTTTTGATTTTTGTTGAAAGGACAAAATGGCTCTTCTTAACATTTGGTTTGCCGACCCCGATCTGGATGGTGCCACTGGATCTCTGAGTATTTGAATAAACACACCCCTTCGTAGTTAGAATGGGTGACAAATAGCAAATCTGTCGTAATTTCGTAATGATTCATGTGATGTTTTTACCCATGATGGTAGAACCTCCTGGTGCCCTCCCCGCCATGTCCGTCATCCCTTTCACATAACGAAAAGCCACTTCCTGCAGAAGCTCCTCACCTTCCTTCCCTACAAGAAAGCAACAAATCAACATCAGCTTTTTACCCTGGAATTAGCTGTGAGAATGAACAGCTGGTTGGGCAAAGAAACCTGTTGCTAAAGCTTCAGCAGTGGCCAGGTGGAGGACAGTGTCGTCACTGACCAGCCATTTGGGCAGTTTAACAATAATTTTCTTCAGTCCTCCGAGCTTCTTTACAGCCTACAAAACAAAAATAAGAAGGTTATGTAACTTTACAGAACTGATTCTGGCCACTCTCTGAATCAGATGTTTCAGATTCCTCCGAGTTCCACATCCACATCATGTCACTCTTGTACTGGCCTTGATTTGCTTTCTAACAGTCTGAGTCAGATGAACTGAATTTACCATAAAAGAAAGGACACAGACTTATCAGAAACAAGCTGTCATCATCCAGCCAGTCCACGTCTCCATGAGCCATCTGCACGCATTTTGAGCCAGAAGCTAAATCTAGACACTGGATGGGAATCCACTGTTGCTGGAGCTATAAATATGGTACCATTTTGTCTTGTCCGAAGTGTGTCATTGTCAAGAATCTTTCAGCATTCAGCACATTTTAGCATTTAGTACTGTTCAAAATTACAAAGTATTTATCTGACCTTGGATATAATGAATATTCTTCAATATCCATAATTCTCATTATCCTTCATTCCTCTTTCCTGGCCAGTGGTTCATGCCCCTAACCGCTGTTATAATGGAATAGTCCTCTCAGTATTATGCTAACGGATGCATCAGCGTGCTCATATGCTAGCTACGCTTTCATTCAACTGAAACTTGTAGCATTTAAATGCTAAGAGTCACCCGAATATGAACTGTTATTCACTAATAATTTCACCTACCTCGTGGATGTCTGGCCCGGAATAGTTGAACTCCCACTGGAAGCCAATAGCATCTCCAGCGCCACTTAGCAGCATGCCAGCCTTGTAGTGCTCAAGAGTAGCAGGACTGGACCAAGAAAGCAAATGAGTTAGGCTTATAATATTCATTAACTCCATTATAAGAGTAAGGCTTATAATATTCATTAACTCCATTATAAGAGTTAGACTTATAATATTCATTAACTCCATTATAAGAGATAGGCTTATAATATTCATTAACTCCATTATAAGAGTTAGACTTATAATATTCATTAACTCCATTATAAGAGATAGGCTTATAATATTCATCAACTCCATTATAAGGTGCAGAAATGTATTGTGAGCAAACTGTAAATGTAACAGGTCCCTCTTGATCCTTGACATGTGGATGCTAAGCATTGCTGTAATTTGCAAGCAGTATAGCTGCTGTACAATGTAGAAGAACAGCAGGATTCTTTTTTCAGAGGAGGTCATTTTTCTTTCACTTTTACTTGTTCTGTCGTTAAAGACGTGATTGAGAAGGCAAAGAAAGTGTAGCTGGCTGTGGTGTAGCTTTTTCGCTAACTAGGCTAATTACTCTAGATAATGTTAGCTGGGTTTCGGAAACAGTGAAAATATATTTCTTGGACAAACTAGCATGTTGGTACGGAGCCCCTAAAAAAAAAAAAAATTGCGTTCGCTCGCAAATGTTTTGCGTTCGCTCGCAAATGTTTTGTGTTCCCTCGCAAACGAAATGCATTCCCTCGCAAATGCTTTGCCTTCCCTCGCAAATGTTTTGCGTTCCTTCGCAAACAAATTGCATTCCCTCGCAAATGTTTTGTGTTCCCTTGCAAATCAAATACATTCACTTGCAAATGTTTTGTGTTGCGTCGCAAATGTTTTGCATTACGATGCAACGGATTGCATTTGCTTGCAAAAGCTGTGCTTAGCTTAAGCTCAGACATGAAGCAGCTCATTGAATTTTACGTTGATCTTGGATTGAAATATAAAGGCACAGTGTCACTTCTCAAACATGATTCTGCTGTTAGTGACTCAAACTGGAACTGAGATCGGCTGTCCTTGTACAGTAAAAGCTACATTTACAGAGAAGCAGAGAACAATAGCTGAATAAACTCAGCACAGACTGGTGAAACCGGGAAAACAGCTTTTAACCACGGCCCCTTAGGGACTCCGTATGTTGGCACATCGTCTTAAGAGGTGAAAAAGACCTTGTGTAGAAGATGACCTCCTCATCAGCCAACGTTGCACCAGTTAGTTCTAGTGTTAGCTCATTAGCTCATCCAATGAGACAGCCGCTGTCAAGTTACTCATTTAGCACAAGTGGTCTACATGCTTTTACATTTATTCCTCTGCATGCAGATATTTATTATTTTACATTTTTTAAATTTGCTATACTATTCTGTCACCTTAAAAATTGAGCCTACATTGATTTCAGCGTTCTTTTTTATTGCTTCCTCTTAACCAGCGGTTAATCAAATTTCTGTTCATTAATGGTGATGGACACTTGAATATCAAAAAATTAGACAGAATGCACATCCATAGTTCCATTACAGTGAAATTAAAAGCACATTTACCTCCATATTCGCCTCAGTCATTTTTACTTTACAGTATGATTGTTTTGCACATTGCTGCTCAGATAAACACCCAGAGCTGCTCTGAATGGCCTGGATCTGTTTTCACTGTTTTCTCCCAGCACTATTGCCAGTTCCCATCACTGCCACCCACTCACAGTCACAAAGCAGCTGTTACTGATCTACCATGCACGACTTAACACTCGGCCCTTGTTGCAGGTACAGAGGAACTGTATCCTTCTTGAGTCTCCCACTCACAGAACCCACTCCGCTGGCCTGTATGTGTAACTGTGTAATATTAGCTGGCTGAGCTTATGCTTTATTAATATCTCAGTTCCGCCTTAAAGTGACAGGTTGAGGGAAAATCAAATTTACACATTTCCTCCTTCCCTTCCCTTAAGCCACGACGAGTTTTGCACTGGAGCTACGAAACAGCATTCAGGCTATTATGAGAACTTAATCTTTGTTTATATAGCACTTTTCATTTTATGTACAAGATCTCCAAATTTTTTTTTACACAAGAAAATAAAACATCCAATACAGTAGAAATAAACTAGCTTAAATAAAAATGTATTTAATATAAATAAATCGAGCTTACATTATTCTTTGCAGTGCCATTCCAGAGTTTATGAGCCTTATAAGAAAATGAGCTTCCACCAACTGAGCAGATAGACATGTTTACAGTAAGCCTGCTTCAACTGAGCAAACGTATGGGCAGGCTTGAACTCTTCACCATACAAGTAAGATATGCCAGAACGAGACCTTTAAGGGCTTTAAATGTCATAAATTCCACCAATTTTTCAAACTTTCGGCATAATTCAGCCGTTGTGATGTAAACAAAGTCATTCAGAATGGTTTAATGTAAAATGATGCATAGTAGACAAAGTGGTGAGAGGAACCAGGGGTCACAAAGAATGAGTTTACATGCACTTAATAATCTGATAACTGCAGAAAATCAGATTTTGTCAGTAATCCGATCAATGCGTTTACATCTGCTTGAGTAATCAGATAATGGGGAAACTCCAGGTCTACATGAGCCAGACAGTAATCAGATTTCTGCTATGCAACCAGCCAATCAACTCACAGAAGAAGACGTGATGTAAACGTAACATAAAACTCAAACTTCATGTCGTGGCTTTTTTTAAAACATCATCCAGAACAGGGGCGTCCAAAGTCCGGCCCCAGGGCCAAATGCGGCCACCGACAGATTTTAATTAGCCCCCGGCTTCCATTCAATAGTGTATTATAAATGGCCCGCCAGCCAGTACGTTGCAGTTCTCCCTTTCACCTGATGGTGGCAGCTGACTAGACCTGCAGCTTCATTTAATGAAACATTTAGTCAAGACTACAGACATAAAGCTCAATCTAAATGCTGAAAACTGCCGATTTGGGCCAGAACGTCTTATCAGAGCAAATTCATTAGTTCAGTAAATATTAACCCTTTATTTGTGTTTATTTGATATGTAAAGAACATCACCTAAAACAAAACCAAACCTCTATAGATTTTTGTTTAGTCTCACAAATGATATTTTTCAACAAATAAAAATCATTTGAATAGGAATATGATTAATATATTAGACATGATGTATTGTTATTCTTAAACAATTTAATTATTTATTATAAGCGCTTATAGAGCCAAACTGTTCTAAACGAACAATCCAACAATAAAAGAAGCCTCATGCATCTTCTATACAGTGATAGGAAACACAGTAGCTCACAGAAAGCTCAGATTCCTTGCGCTGATCTTTCGAAAATATTTTAATCATTTGTGAATAATATGTCGGCCTTCAGGTATTTTAACACAGGACCATCTGGCCCTCTTTGAAACAAGCTTAGACATCCCTGATCTAGAACATTTAAATCCTCCATTTTTGTCAAGCATGTAGTTGGTTTCAGCGTCGCTTCAAAAGTGTTTTGCTGCGTCTCGCGGCAACTTCACCCCAAAAATTTCCGGTACCGCCATCTGTTTTCACACATACACAGACTGAGAAATCCGAAAGAAATCAGAGTAAGAGATATCTGATTACTGAGCTAAAATCGAGCCTCTTTATCAGACTTCTTAATCGGGTTTCTAAACTCTGATCTAAGAAATCGGAGTGTGCTGTTTACACAACCATTTGAATAATCAGATAACTGCAGAAATCAGATTATGACTAGATTACTGAGTTCATGTAAACACACTCAATGTCTACAATACAAAGCCAATATATAGCCATTTTTTTATTTACTATCCAAAACCACCAGTAAACAGTGTGAACATATGTTAAGTTTTTATATGTAATGCTGAGAATAGTGGTAGCAAATAAAAAATAAAAAAAAAGATTATTTTTCCCTACATGAACCTCTCCATCATTAACAGATTTAAAATTATATGTTTCAGGCCTAAACCTTCTCTCAAAACTATCATAAGTAAATGACTCAGGTATCAGGCAGAATATTCTTAACCTTTTCATGCAATAGCTTTCTGTGAGGGACCTTTTAGAGGCATTAAACTCTTCAGATGTCTGGTTCCTATCACCACCACTGTGGACAATTCTGATTCATTTAAGGCATTTTGCATCAAACCACTCTGAACAACTTTGCTAAATTTATCCATCTAATTATGTAGTAAGTTAGAAGAATAACTGGAGTTCCTCTTTAACTGGAAGCCGGTTTAAGTGAGTCAGACAACAGTAATGTGCTTAGACGTTTCCTGGCGGGCACACAGGCTGGCACAAGTTGGCGCCTGTATAGAGAGACAGAAGAGCCACCAGTCAGTAACACGTACAATACTCTAAACAGCACTGCAGCTCGAGTGCAAAACTAAAGGAGCTAAGTTTAGACACTAAACATGTCTTGGCTGATCGATTACATTTGGGGTCAGAGAGGAAAAGTAGGTACATTTGATACTTTCCTGAACTTTTGCTGCAAGCTACAGCATTTTTAGGCCAGATACTGTAATGTGCAGCACATTAGGATGTCAGGGAACACCGGAAGAGGTCTGTGTTCTGTGATCCATATCAAATATGGCCGATACTGTACAGCAGTATAAACATGCTCGTGTATTCACTTGGCACTGCACACAGCAGCTTGTCCTCCGGTAACACACCCACTTTTTAAAGCACAAGAATTTCCTGCCAATGAGCTGCCAAGTGAAATCAGGTTTGTTAGCCTTCAAAACATGAAAATATACCTATCATGAAAATACAACCCTTTTATAGTGCATAGTAAGTTACCAAAAAGTGGTTTTAAGATCCACCATCTGGACTAGTAGTCACAGTCCTGACTCTGCTTACCTGCCCATCCTGAGAATCCTTTGCCAGACTTTCAACAATCCAAGACACGGATGAAAACTTCCCCTTTTCCTATTCCCGAACGGTCCTTTTACACAAAGTCCACAGGTCAGAAAACACCCAACAACTGCTATAACTGTTCTGTTAGACAAAACAATGTGCTGATGCTGAAATAACTCACCTCCACACCGTCTGCCCGGCTGTAGTGTGTATCCAGTGGAGCTGCTGAGCAGCTATGATTACAAAACCTGCATTTCTTCTTGTCCTGCTATGTGATTCAGCAGGGCTGGTGTAGGCCTAACAGCGTTCACATGCAGCCTCGCACTTCCTGGAAAAACCCAGAATGTTCATAGGGGGGCGCCATTTCCTCCTTAATGAAACACTGCTGCCTTTTGTGGTGAAAAAGTGCATGGAGGTTTTTAAAGGGCTATGTTGCAGATGTAAGGCAGCAGTCTGTGATATTGCATTCCCATCGTCCACGCGCAACACCTTATGAGCAGAGACGGGCTTATTTTGTCCGACAGAGTGGATGTCATTGCTCATTAGGGTCTCAAAGGAACTGGGGCTATTTACCACAAACCCTGCCAAGTTCAGCCACACAGCTTACAAGTGCCAGGAATTGGACTCAAATGCGAAACACACAGTGCAGTATGACCAATGGCTTGGTCAAAGCACAGGTAGCCTGTTAAGTGAAGGATGTCTAGCAGGTCTAGCGTAAAAATGGACTTGATTATGCCATGCAGTCACGGAATGAATAAACCTTCTATGTCCTTTTTTTCTCTTAGCACTGTCAGTGACTTCGGTCAATCTACAATCAGTGCTAACAGAACATGCTAACTTGCAAGTTGTGGAATCACAGTTTCGTACTTCATTGTTTCAGGTACTTGGTGCTCTTACCAAAAAAACAGATGCACCCACCAATGTGCCACCACGTTGAACTTGTGTCATGTCCCTGTTATCAGATTCTAACATCAGTTTTTTTTTAAAGAGTTAATTACATGATGTTTCTGTGAATAATAAATATAATAAAAAATTATAATTTTCGAAGAAACAAATTATCAATTTTGAATAAAAGCAAAACTTCTATGGATCATGGCTTGATGATATCACACCTTAAAATTCGAGGTATTACACATTACGTCTCATGATTCAGTAAATACATGGCCGTCAGTGCAAAGTTGAGCTAGTTTTAGGTTATAGAAGTGCGTGATAAAACGTTGGGCCCACCCTTGGGCCCTGGCCAATTAGGGGGTTTAATGTGATGGGGTGGAAAGTTATTATATTTTACTTACAATGAATGTTTTTATATTAAAATGAAATATATAGTGTTATTTTGAACATGGCAAAAAACTGATGCTAAAATGACTTTTATCTAATAATATTTGAGGTGAAACTTTAGTCTTTGCCATTTCCACCTGCTGGCTATGTCTCGTCCAATCACACGATGCTAAGACGCTGAAAGGGAAGGCCACGTCTTTTTTTTAAACTGCCATTAACACAACGTCGTTGGAACTCAACGCTATTTGACGAAAACACTTACTATTAATTCTGTTCTCCCAGCATCACAGTGTGATTTTTTGTTTTGCAGACAAAAGAAATGCTTAACATTTTTGCCATTTTTTGTAAATATAAGTTGAATGTAAATATAATTTATTACATAACTATGTTTTGCCCTGTTTTCTCCCCAGTTTATATACAGTGGACCTGTAAGGTAGGGCATATAAAGTAGCCATTGGGTGGAAGTAGGGGTTTCTAATAAAGTGGACAGTGGATAGTGCCTGTATAGTGACAATATATAGTTAAGTCTTGTTACTACTAATGTTCAATTCATGCATGAAAGCTGAGAAATACAGTATAAAGTGTTGTGGTGGTGTGATTTGTGAAGGACTAAGAAGTTAAAGCATCGAACGGAATCAACGTAACAATGACAGTACATGCAGCAGTGTCACAGCAAACATAATGAATGTGTCTTAAAGGCATACCGAATAATTTGCATGTTCCAGCAGCTCCTGCTGACTCTCAGTGGCAGCTTTCCAGAAGTCTCTCACTGTGTCGGCTCCTATCGGATAAAAAAGGCACAAACATTCTTGCTTGTATTTTTACAAGCACTACATGAATGGCGAGAAGGCAGGGGAAGGATAATTGAGTTGGCTGATAAACTCACACAGAAAATGTTTGGCCTCTATTATGAACAGTGGTGGACGCGACGAGGTGGTGTGAAGCCATCTTATCCTGCCAGCAAATCTGCTCCACATCAACTACTCATTCAACAGGCTGAGAGACACAAGGGAAACACAACAAAGCTTTGACCAAAGAAATGCACACAATTTTTTCTTTACACCAAATATAGTCAACCAGTAAAGGCATACATGGTGTCTGAGGTTTGCTTCTGTAGTTTTGCACTGAAGCCTAGTGTAGCTAACAAGTAATGGAAGCTTATATCCCACCAATTAGCATTAGAGCTAGATTATATACACCGATCAGGCATAACATTATGACCACCTCCTTGTTTCTACGCTCATTGCCCATTTTATCAGCTCCACTTACTATATAGGTGCACTTTGTAGTTCTACAGTTACAGACTGTAGTCCATCTGTTTCTCTGCATACTTTGTTAGCCCCCTTTTACCCTGTTCTTCAGTGGTCAGGACCCCCATGGACCCTCACAGAGCAGGAACTATTTGGGTGGTGGATCATCCTCAGCACTGCAGTAACACTGACATGATGGTGGTGTGTTAGTGTGTTGTGCTGGTACGAGTGGATCAGACAAGCAGTGCAGTGCTTGGTTTGTATTGGTCATCCTCTAGTCCTTCATCAGTGGTCACAGGACGCTGTTGGCTGGATATTTTTGGTTGGTGGACTATTCTCAGTCCAGCAGTGTCACTAAGGTGTTTCAAAAATCCAGCAGCTCTGCTGTGTCTGATCCACTCAGACCAGCGCAACACACACTAACACACCACCACCACATCAGTGTTACTGCAGTGCTGAGAATGATCCACCACCCAAATAGTACTGCTCTGTGAGGGTCCATGGGGGTCCTGACCACTGAAGAACAGGGTAAAAGGGGGCTAACAAAGTATGCAGAGAAACAGATGGACTACAGTCTGTAACTGTAGAACTACAAAGTGCACCTATATAGTAAGTGGAGCTGATAAAATGGACAATGAGCATAGAAACAAGGAGGTGGTCATAATGTTATGCCTGATCGATGTATGTCCAAACCCAATGGGACCTGACTGCTCATGTTAGGTTTGTTTGGATGTGTCAGGGTTCAGATGTCATTTCTCAAATATGTGTCAGGCTCAATTTGACTCTTACAGCCCACCTCCTACTTTCAACATATTCCCATGGAAATAATCCCTCGTTTTCAGTGGATCTCTGCTTTTTATGACAGGTCTCTCGCAGTAAGCACAGACAAAACAACAAAACCCCAGCCACCATCATTTATCAGCAGTGCTGTGAACAGACTCAGCAGTACTAATTGCAGCAATTAGCTTAATATGTGAAGCTCATTCTAAAGGAAAGTTGCATCTAAGCCAAAAACTACTTCATCATTTTCTGTGGTAGTCAAGTGTAAACCAACCTTTTGAGTGAGAGAAATGCATTTTTCTAAATGTCAGGAAAGATGTAATATAAAATTGTATTTTCAGAGGTGTTGCACAATCAAATGCAGGCAGAGTTGCAATCTACATGTAGTACAGTCAGCAGCTCCCTTTTGAATACTAATCACAGTGCAGAGTGAGAACACAAACTTTTTAAGTGATAGATTTAAGTAAATTATATAGGCCCGTGTACTGAGCCTTGAGGCACACCATTTAAATGTTCTAAATGCAGCATTAAGACTAGCATGATCGCATTGTTTTTCACTGGTACCTAAGAAAAGTCAACAGGTAAAGATAAAAGAGCTCTTCACTGAAACAACACAGGCCCAGGTATTGAGCCCTGGGGCACTCCCCAGTTCAAAAACCTGTTATTACAATACCGATGCTTGAAACACTGTTTACTGTTGGTACATAGGAAACAAAGGGCAGTAGAGTAAAAATGCATGGAAAGCTTTGCTGTGTCAGTACCTTTATGTCCTGCTCAGTGATCTGAAAGATGACTAGTTGTTTTAATCTTGTCAAGACTCTGCTTTGCCAAGACAGCTTGTTTGTTCACCGTTTTTATGGCCTCAGTGAGTGGTATTGAGTTCCTTTGTGGATAAGGTTTGAGTGATTGCTTGTCAAAGAATTTCGACACATTGGATCATTAAAGTGATAGACAGATGAGCTCCCGCGGATTTCTGTTGTTGCTGCCGTCATTGCTTTTATCTCTTCAGCTGAAACTTTTAATGTCGGACTATTTCTCACATGCGCAAACAAACCCTCAAACACATCTCCCCCAGTGCCTACCCCACCAGGCCTCTGTACCGATGGTTTTAGAGGTTTCTCCCTGTTGCCTAGCAACTAGGCCAAGGATTACTGTATAAAAAATTAGCGGAGATATTTAGGGTTTCTTCAGTTCATGGTACATGTCTATCTATAACAGTTTCAGTGGAAACTTTACATAGTGCCAAAAGTCTGTACCTCCACACTGATGAAGACCATCTTTATTTTAGCTGCATAACATTAAGTCTACTGTGAAATCTGCTGAGACTGTGCTTTTATCTTTCAGCGGCTCCTTGTACTTTGTATTCTGTCTGTAGACGAACCCTTTACTTTTATGCATCCACCCCTCATAAGCAATCGTCTTATAGGTAAAAGCTGTTGTTAAAACAGAAACTAAAGCACTGCTGTAGCATATACTTTGACCCTTTCCACTCAAATGGCAAAACTGGCATCATTTGAGCATTTCCCCTTAAAAACATTCACAGTATTTGAGCCCTGTATGCAAATATCATACGATTAACCTGAATAAAAGAACAGTATTCATTTTCTCACCTGTTTGATTATGACCTTTTGGCATAGCTAACACAAGACATACACTACCTCCCTGTTTCTACACTCATTGTCCATTTTATCAGCTCCACTGACCATATAGGAGCTCTTTGTATTCCTATATGGTCAGTGGAGTACAAAGAGTCCTGTGGGGGTCCTGACCATTGAAGAACAGGGTAACAAAGTATGCAGAGAAACAGACAAACTACAGTCTGTAACTGTAGACCTACAAAGTGCTCCTGAGCTGATAAAATGGACAATGTAGAAACAAGGGTGGTTTTAATGTAATGATATTGAATGCAGTATTTTACCACTGACATGAGCATGATACATGTATGAGAATGGCCTGAAAATTCCCAAAATTTTACCCTCCTCTCTCACACACTCATACATACTCACTGTCATCTTGCATTCTT